AACATACAGACATTTAAAGCACAGGGGGCTGAGAGAAACCGTGATAAGCGGCTTCCCCTTGATGACGTTGATTATCAATCTTAAATTGCGATAAGAACAGGGTCAACTTCACTTCATGGGAGCCTCGAGCAGAGGACAAGATCTGACTCTGTGGCTTGAACACCAATCTTTTATGGTTACTATTATCAACGATGGACTCTTGTTGCTCCATCTGATGGAGGAACATTATGGCTTGTAATGTGATTAAATCAGAACACCGTCGCCCCAGGGAATATAGGTATCTGTCAGCTTTACTGTGAAGAGTGCCAGTGATGTAGTAAATATATTGTCATAACTTCCTGGGTTTGCAGACTCATAAAGTTTACATTTTGACCTTAAAGTTCTGTCTGCTGGGAATCGCTGATGGAAATGAGAAGCTAATTTATTGGGTGTTTCAAAGAATATAATATTACAACATGTCAGAGGTACACTGGTTCTCTCTGTAGGACTCAGGTTTTAATACCCAGATCTGCCCTGCGAGGTCAGACACAATCTGTGCCACCATCATGTGCAATCGATTTTTATAACGTTGGCATGGCAATCTCTTCCTCTTCTTTCTTTTGCAGTGATTTTTCTCATCCTGTTTTTATTTTCAGAGAAAAGTGCTTAAACTCCCTGTGAGAGAAATAATGCCCTAATTGTTTTTTACAAACACAGAAAGAGTGCAGGGATGTGAGAAATCAAGGCAATCTTTACGTTAGCAAGAATCAAATTTTATTGACTGTGACTAATTTCTTGTAACGTCTCATGATTGAGGTTTGAACTCAAGACTGGGTTTAAGAACAAATTCGTCCGGATGGCTTTTTGGTAAATCTAATTATATTTGACCAAATAACTATTTTTTTTTCAACAAAATAATCTAAACACAAGGTTCACTTACTGGCTTACCTGAGTTTTCAAACACATCGCATGGACTTGGAGATGGCTCAGTTGTCATCACGTGACCTGATTTGTAACTTTGGTCACATGATAACGGGTGGTTGTATCTGAGGGAAGAAAGAGATCTATGATCAAAGATGGTTTTCCTGAGCTTCCTTTTTTTGATAAAAGACTGATTCCACACAGGACCAGCCATTGTCATCATGATCTTTTGTAATTTTCTTCCTTTTTCCCCGCCATGCACTGACTGGACACTGAGCCATCTCCATGACAACTAAACAAACTCCAGATGCTGATTAAGTCCATGAGATGTGGAGAAAAGCAACTAAGTGAACCTTGAGTTAAGTTTTAGAACCACTATTTCAAAGGTCAAGAATGAACTCAACAGATTTATAGATCACAGACACAGTCCAAGTTATAGTTGTAGTTTACTAAGCAAAAAAATCTGATATCATGGCCACTTGCCTTGAAAATGCCATAAGTAACTAAGAAATCTAATTTAACAATCCATTCATTTACACATACAACTTATTTTGATCTCCTCTTTCTGTTTTAAACCTAACCTTTTTTTTTTGTACTTTAGGTTCGGCTGGTCTCCTTGTGTAATAATACTTGTATAACCTCAATCCTTTAATGCACAATCAAGTTATATACATTTTCTCCCAGTTCAACCTAATCAGAATGTGTATTCTGCAGAATGTATAAATATAATAATATTATGATCATAAAGACAAAATAAAATCTAAACGGACAATGAATCTCACAGATTGATCTATTCATGAATGTAAATAAAGTAAGTGTAAATTTTTAATATAGCACTTTTCACAGAGAAAGTCACAAGGTGCTTTACAATGATACGTCGTATATAATAATATGTCACGGTAAGTCATGTGAGGAGCAGGTGAACCGGGGATAGGACCCAGATGCAGTCTCAGTTTAATGTTTTTAGTAGTCAAACAAAAGGTGTACAGGATCACGGTAAGATGACACAGGCAAGGGTCAAAAACAGGCAAGCAGTCCAATACCAAAGCAAACTCATCCAGATAGGAGCAGGCAAATAATCCAGTCCTTAGAAGTCCAAAGAGCTGGCAAAAGGTATATCTATCTAGCTATCGAATTATTTATGTAATGTAATATAATGTCTAACTATATATCTCTCTTGTCTCTGTGGGCTGTCCAAAGCAAATTTGGTATTTACTTAACGTGCCATGACATTTGCATTTTAGGTCAGTGCTGCCGTATCATATTGCATACATCATCGTCTACCAGACCTCATGATTAATATAATTCCTGGGCACCAGTTCTGTTTGTGTTGCTAGGTAACATCTATCTGAACAGGAAGAGGTTCACAAGGGAGTGGGCTTGTAGTTTGAATCTCAAGAATAGCACTGCATTCTGCTAAACATTATTGATCCTGGCTTTTCAGCAGAGATAACGTAGCGCTCTCTCTAACATACACAAGCTCTCTCCCCCTTCCTACTGTACGACACTGACGTTGGTGAAAAGGGAGAGACTGTCTCTCTGTCCCTCTCTCTCTCTTACCTGTGACGTCTGCATCTCTTTATTTTCTGTGCAGTTTTGGTCATATGACCTCTCCAGTCCTCCTTAAGCCTTTCTGCTTTATCATGTGTTAACGTTGAAAAGCCCTCTTTCCATCACACGTATAACGCCTGCTCTCAAGAACAAAAGGATGCTGATGTGTCTCCGCTATGTTGTCAGTGTAGTTTAGAGACAAGCAATTGCATTCACTGCTTCTGGTCATGTGTGAAGCTACAAAGCTGTTGATCTGGGATTGTGGATGAGCTGTGTGTTACTGATCTTATGTGCTTCTTGGTCTTCCAGATATTAATATAATAAATATAAAGTTTATCAATCTGTTGGTTTTTTTTTGCTAAGATGAATAGAATGCTAGGATGCTGCTACAACAAAAAAGTCATGGCACAATCTTATAATGGAGTGTATTCCCAATGAACAAGTTCCATGAATGCTTCACTTGGGTAGATTTTACAGTCACTCACCCATGTGCTTCTCTGAATAGCTACAGACCTTTTTTTTTTAAACCACAGAGCAGATCTTTTTAACCCAGCAGAGTCACTCTTCCGTTTCATTTATGGAAATTTAGAAACCTCCTTGAATCCAGCAGGGTTAGTCATCCCAATTGTTTTGGGGTTGTCTGTATAAAGAGGATTTGATGACCCTCTGGGCCTCTTTAACCCTGCAGCTCAGCCAGCCATTTGCTTGTTGTTTTTTAGAAAGATTTGCATAAATGTCATTAGATTAGATATTCTTAGCTATGTTTACAGATATGAAAAGTGCAATGGAAGAGCAGTCAGCTGTACAGTCTGACCTGACGGCAGCAGATTGCAGGGAAAGTTAATAATGAAATAAAGTTATTAATAAGACTAATGAAGGGGTGATTCAACAAAAGAAATAGGGGAATAATGTTTGTGTTTTTGTGCTTTATCTCAGCTTTTTTCTACTCTTTGTATTGTTAAACGGAGTGTAGCTATCGCAGAGGTAAGGCCTGTGACATTTCCAGGTTGTGACTCGCCCAGTTTTTGATCGGGCTTCATCTGATTTATTGATTGGGTGTCGACAGTGGTCGTTGTCGTTGTTGGTCACTGCGATAAAAGAGCCAATAAGCTTATCTGGCATTTAACAAACCTCAGAGAATGACCTCAGCGATGGCCCGGGTCCAACAAACCTACCAGCGTTGCCGGATGTCCAATAACTGTAAAATTGTGCTCTTACAGTAAAAGTGCCCTCTCTCCGTCCCCATGCGTCACCTTCTTGAGCAGACCTCATTAGCGGGAGACTGCAGGTGTTCCACTCCAGTTGAGTGACGACCGATTTCATTTGCTCCCTCAAGTGCCAATCTGCCCTCTAATACGACTGCCAGAAACAGACTAACTGCTCACATGTGGTCCCATTGGTTCCCTCCACACCGCCCTTGAGTTAAGCAACCAGGACACGGATGCTTTAGAGAATTTTTTGTGGTAAGCATTCAGGGGATTAAAATTCAGGCAGGGTAGCGACAGAGTTCACCTTGGGCATTTAACAGTTTTTGGCTCTGCTCAGACCGGGACACTGGGACACCTACTGCTGATGATAGTGAGTGCGGGAAAGAGTTGAGGATGATGGGAAGGCAGAGGAGGGGAAGTCGCCGGGCCTGTTTCTTCCTCCTGTTTCCATCTCGTAGCCTACAAACGCAGGCAGACACTGACCCTGAAGCTGTGACTTTGAAGTGTTGCCTTTAATTAAGGAGTTAATTAAAGAGAAGCTGCATGCTAGTGAGCAGATAACTATGAAAAGAAAAGGAACAGGCAGAGAGAAAAGAAAGGAGCAGATATGGAGTGGAGACGTGATATTGGCAGCTCATCAGTTTCTGAAGTGCCAGAGTGTCTTCCTCCTGATTGGCAGACAAGCCAGCTGGCTCACCGGAGACAGATATGAAAGCTGTAAAAGAGAAAAACAAGAACCTGCCACCCACATGTGTGAATGGCACAGTTTCTGCCCTGCTGCAAGCTGTGGTGTTAGTGCCACGAAGCATTAACGATAATTGATGATGGTAGGACAGTAGGAAGAAGAAGATGATCATTTTATACATTTGGGATGAAAAGACTAATGGTTTCTTCAGTGTGTGTGGGTGTAATTTATGTTCTTGTTCTTTTTCTGTCTGCCGTGATCTGTTTCCTGCCTTTGTCTCCTCTGTTACCCTTCTCCTGCTCCTCTGTCACCTCTGGGTCTCCCTCAGTCTCCCCTCTTTCTTCCCTATCCATCACTTCTTCCCTTTTCTCTTCCTGTGTTCTCCTACTTTATCAACCGCCATCGTCCTGACAGTTTTCACCTCCAGTCATGCTAAACATTTGCCTGTCCTCTTCCTTCACAACTTCTTCTCTCCATCTACGCTATTTTCCAACCCCCTCATTTTTGCTTCCCTGCCGATCCCAGAGAAAATGAAAAGTAAAATAAATTATTATAATAAATAAGTTTAAAAAAAGATACATTTAAAACTATGAAAAAAGTAAAAATGTCATCTCCTTCTCTTGTCTTTTTCTTCTCCTTTCTTTCATTTACATTAGCCTGGATTTTATAAAGGCGTGGCAGGCTCCCAGGTGACCCTGTCCAGCCTGGTGAACCAATCGCGGGCAATGCTGGAGGAGCAGGCCCGCCACTTGCTGACAGAGGCGGAGCGGCAGACCATGAGCTACTACGTGGAGGAGTACCGGGACGGACACATCGGTGTGGAGCAGCTGGTCGTGGCGCTGTTCGAGCTACTCAACACGCATGCAAAGGTGAAGGCTGATGAGGCTTGTTGGAGAAAGGAAAGAAAAAGATCAAAAGAGAATCAATTTCCCTTTATGCAGGACTCTGCACTCAAGTACAGTCTGAGAGTGTGTGTGTGTGTGTGTGTGTGATTGCTGCGAGATTTGAATTGACGCATTCTAAGCCTTTTTGAGATTAATGCCCAAGCTTTTTGCTTTTTCTGTTTTGTTTTTTCCTTCCCCTCTGGCTATTAAAAGTCTCCTGATTTTCTCACAGTCTACAGTAGTTCACCTTATTAAAAAAACACAATAAATCAAAGGCATTTCATTTCCAGTTTCTCAAGTACGCTGTTATATCATACACCCACAGAAAGCTTTTCCATCTGCCTTGTGCTGTATTTACAGATACTGGATAACTTCCTTGTTTTGGGGTTAGTATTTTTGAATTGTACAACAGTACAATCTAAAATAGGAGCAGGGTTTGATACATTTTGTTGGAAATTTGAACTTCAATCTTCCCAGAATTGCACATGAATGAGTATAACTCAGTTTAATGATGATGAATGATGGTGAATTAGTACAGTTTAGGCCAGAATAAATGACAAAGTCCTATAAATAGGACCATCACTGAAGCAGTTGCATTTAAATTTAAATAAACTGTTGTTCGCACCAAAACATTTGTTACTGAGCATCAACTGGTAATAAAGTTTAAGCACACAATTCTCTTCTTTGAAGAACACTCCTATGGTTGAGCTGTTGGACTGTTTCTGTGTTGGTTTTAGAGGGGGAAAAAAGAAAAATTCAGAAAAGTCAGCAGGGGTAGGTGTTCTGTTATTTTCTTCAAGGGAACGCTCTCATTTTGATCCACTCATCTCACAAATCCAGGCAGTACTGAAGGTTAGTCATCTCAGCAACTGTCAGTTCAATCTGTATCAGAATAGACTTTAATGTAAACATTTAAACAAAGGCTTCAAAGCTTTAAAGCTTTAAAATGAAGTTTAAAGTTTGGGTGCAACAGAATTGTAACCGCATCTCCCTTCATCCCCCGTTCCTTCCTCCAGTTCTCTCTGCTGTCAGAGGTGCGAAGCTTGGTCACCCCACAGGACCTGGAGCATTTTGACGGGCTGGTGCTGCGACGGGAAATTCAGGCTCTGAAGGCGCGACAGGGGACAGCTGGGGCCACAGCATACAAACCAGACTCCCTGTCCATGGTGTCATATCCAGACACCCTGACCTCATCTTCAGCCAGCTTCATGACCAACACCACCCTCAGCTCTGCAAGGGTAGGCTGGGTTTATTAGTTGGATAGTTACCTGGCTATTCTTGATTTAATGTGTTGTCCTCAGTTAGTTGAGATGAGCAATTTTTCATTTCCTTTTTCATTTAAGAATTATTAGAACATAAAATGAGTTGAGTGCTGCTGTTTTATTTTTCTGGTCTGCCTCGCTGTCTGTTTGGATTGTGAATGGTTCCTTTTATGTTTGGTTGTCCGCTCACTTTCACTTTCTGTTGTGTGTGTGTGAGAGAGAGAGAGAGACAGGGGTAGAGAGGGTATTGTGATATATTTCCATGGATTATAACAGATTCTGCTGTAGAAAAGATCCCAGTCTGTTGTGGACTTTGTCTGGCTGAACAATGACATGTTTCAATGCCTCCCTGTTGAGATTGAAAAGTCTTTCGGCTGATATTTGATAGGTTGTGTTTTTCTTCCACCGCAATAATCCCCCTCAACCCAAAAACCTCCCCCATCTCTCCCTCCATAGGAAAGGCTGCTCTGGCTGATAGATATGATGGAGGTAGGAATCACTGCTGAAAGTGATGAATGCTTTCCAACACAAACCCACACACACACAGGATACACAACAAAGAGATGTAAAGTTGCCTGTGGGCAGATGTGCATACAATACATACCGACTCTCACCTTGGTTTGTGGTTTTGCATTGAATTTGTTTGCAGTGTTTTTCTTCTGTCTTGTTTTTTTTCATTCTTTACCTTGATTTGGACAAGAAGTGTAGTGCTTTCAAAGAAAGTGAGTCTCTCCACGGTCCTAATGAAGTCCTAAAAGACTATTTTGTGACCGTCCAGGAAGTATCTAGCTGTTTTTGTGTGGATGACCTCACTGTTACAGCTGGGGTAATTCATACAGGGGCTCATTGGTATTCCCTCACCCCATTCTCTCTTCAGTTTTATTACCAAAAACCTTTCTGAGCTGTGCTCATTATAAGAGGTGTCCAATTGCAACATGAAATGTTTTGTTGTGTGGGGACAATTTTGGTGACAATGTAAAAGGTCTTCAAATTGAACCTTTTGACAAATTCCATATTTTCCAGTGAGAATCAGTCATAAAGTTTAGTTACCTTTGTGTTAAAATGTTGCACAAGGTTTGAGCATTTTAAAAAATGGGTATCCACTTTCTTCTATGGAAATATTTTAAAGAGGATGTGATAAGATGAGATAGGCAATCAACTGAGCAGCAGTAACTCTGAAAAATCAGGGCATTTTGTCCTTTTAATGTATCTTGATTTTTGTGTTTATCTTGTAAAGTGTGTATATATATATACAAACCCTGGTGGATAGACACATTACTTGACATTAATTGAACATACTCTTTTGTCAGATTTACTCAGTTAGCTAAATATACAGTAGTATAATGATGTGCTGTAGCCACTCCTCAGATGAAACTATGGTTCCAGGCATGAAATTCAGTCCTTCTTCACTACAGCAAAGCACATTAACTTGGCTTTAGCCATTTAGAGAAACAACATATTGTGATGCATACCAGATTCTCACTTTTTACATTTTAATTTGATCAGGATTTATTTTAAATTGGGATACAAGTGCCCCGAACACCCCTTCCCATCTGCTCTGGTTGTGTTTCTAATCATATCTGTAGTTTGCTGGGAAGCTTTTTTGTTCATTTAAGTTTATAGATGGGCCAACAATTCAAAGCCAAATGTGTTAGTATGTGGTAAATGTGTCTGTATCCAAGTGTTTCGCTGTGGATTAAGATGACTGCACAGATGTCTACACACTTATGCACACACACACACACACACACACACATACACACAGTGTCTAAGCTGACAGCGGGGCTGTTGACTGTCTGCAGATTTTTCCACCAAACAGTCCTTCCTATTCAGAGGCCTCAGATGGGTTTTCTCTGCCTTTCTGCATTTAAATGTGTGAAAGGTGTGTGTGTGTGTGTGTGTCGGTCTGTCTGTCTGTCTGTCGGTCTGTCTGTCTGTTTGTCTGTTTGTGGTGTTTTGGACCCATGGTTGACTGCTGTGTCAAGCAGATTAGAGAGCTGGGTGGGTTTGGAAGGATAACAACATCGGATTTCTGAACCACACTCAAAACCAGGTGTATTGTTAACTGCATACCAATTCATGTGTACACACACAAACACACACACACGCACACACACACACGTTATGGTAAAAGACACACAAGCACAGTTGCAGCTGGATTACTGTCTCGCTGGTGGGCAAACATAATGTCGGATGATTCTGCAAAACATCACATTACATTCAGTGACAAGGATTTTTCAGATTTAATGATGATTTTTTTTATCAGATTATTCCTACTAATATCTGTGGTCAGCTATGGTTAAGATGTGGTTACATTTTGGGCAACTTAAACACTTTCAAAATAAAGAAACAACAAACATTAATTATGCGTCTGAGACAGGTTGTGACAACACTGAATAAAAAGTTTTCAGTGATGACATACAAAGGTACATACTGTACATGCACGTTATAGAAGAATACCATGGCGTCATCCTACTGCCTAACCCACAGTTGTTGTGAAGAGAATAAATGATTGCAGGTGTTGTAAAATTGGGTCTCATTGTATAACAAACTGTCAGACTGTCAACAGTCTGCAGTGTTTTTGCATCTTGTAAGTCTATTTTAGTTCTGAACACAGCCTTGCACAGACTAAACACTGCAAGGCCACCAAGTGCCACAAAAAACCTTCCACAATCAGCCATCTGTGGGCAAATCGATAGTCTTTGTAATCACAATTGCTTGCACTGTTGTTGCAGTTTAACATCTGGGATCCTCTCATCCTCCTCTTTAAACATTTGCTGCTTCTCATAGAAAATGAATCAGCGCTGCAAGTTCAGCCTAGCTCGGAGTGTTTGTCCAGACTGCACAACATTTGTCTTTAAAGGACAGTTTTGGTGATCATGACTTAAATTCCTGCTGTGGCTTAGTTGAGAAACAATATCAGACTACATGTAGAACCGATTGTAGGTTGCAGGATTGGTATATCAACAACCGTGGCATTGGGAGAGTCATGGTCACAAAGTCATGGTGTGCCGTAGGTGTTGTCAAACAAGGCAAAAGAATGGTGACATGCATGTCTTTTTTGTCATGAGGTGTCACAGAATCAGAATCAGTTGTTTTCCACAATAAAAAACAACACAGGGCAGATTTTTGTATGTAAAATTCACGATGCACCACATCTGTCAAATCTAGGAATTACAGAGCTGAAATTGTTTTGTCTGATCCCAGCAGTCAAATGTGTTGTGGGCCAACTCCATATTGTCACTTCCTGCATTTGCACTGAATGTTGGCATTGGATGTAAGTCATGTTCTGCAGAATTGCCTAATATGATTCCTGGGTAGATTGTGATACACATGCTTCCACACACACACTCCGTGGATGGTAACTACACAGCGTGCTCTGAGTGCTTACAGTGCAGAGCAGCGTCTCCGTATGTAGAAAGTCGAATGACTCTTGTGATAAATAAATTGTCTGTAAGTGCTCCCCGTGCTGCAATGGGGTAATTAAACAGAATTGATGGGGTTTTGTTTTGGTTTAGTGGCAGAGTTAAATAAAGGGCAACGTTTCTCTGAACTCCTCTGCTCTGAAATCGCTCACAGATATGCTGCAAATTACCTCCTCTGCACCATGCCGGTGGGATTGAGCTGCCAAATCCTGCTTTGAACGGAGCTGATGGTCCTTCATTGATTTCACAGCATGTGTGTTTAGCTTGTGGAAGAAGACATAATATCTGTGTGCAAGTGTGCATGTGTGTGTGCCCTATTTGCTTGCCTTCCTTTTAAACTTTGAGATTGGCAAGCAAATGTGAACAGACACTGACGTCTTTCCTTTTTTCTAGGAAACGTGGAACATCCACCAAATCTAATTTAGCATTTGTTTTGAGACAAACACAAATCTGTGTTTAACATCTGCTCACAAGCTTTCTCTCTCTCTCACTTTAATCACTCTCTTCTTCCTCCTCCCTTTCTGTTTCCCTGTCATCTATCTTTAATCACACTCCCCTCTTTCTCTTTCACCTCTGGACCTCTCGTCTCTCTTCCTCCTTTTCTTTCCTGCATCTCCTAGAACGACAGCGTGGTGGAGAGTAATGAGGATGTTCCTCCGGAGAGTCTGAACACGCTGCTGACCGACATCTCCCTGGTGAGCCTGGCAGGAAGGCCAGCAGGCACAGCCCCTGCTTTGGCCTGATAAAGATGGATGCCACACTGGGGAGAAGTGAGGAGGGGTGGGAAGAAAAAGTAAAAAAAATAATAAAATAAAAATAAAAAGAGGTAGGGACAGATGGAGGTACTTGAGACGTCGCTGACCTGCAGGCTTTGTGTTGTAGACTGAGGTGGAGTGGAGTAAGTGTTTGCACCAAATGAGAGTGAGAGAAAGAAAGAGAAGTAGAGCATTGTGAGAGTAAGGGCCGCTGTAGTCTTTCTTCATCTTTTCTTTGTATTGTGGAAAGAGCGGAGTAGAAGCTGATCACTAAATGCCACCTGGCATGTCCAATTCTCCTCCTAACTCTCAAGGACTGTATATATATATATATATATATATATATATATATATATATATATATATATATATATATATGTGTGTGTGTGTGTGTGTATAAATATATAGATATAGATATAGATAGATATATATATATAGATATATATATATACATTTATATAGCAGTTTACAAAGCAACAAGAGCAGGAGACAAGAGGGCTCATTGAGGAGATCACCAAGGCTACCTGCCACTCAAATCATCACTTTTCTTTTGTATACTTTATTTTACTCTCATTTTATGTTTCTTTCCATACACTGGTGAGCCACTCATGTCTCAGTGTTGTTCATTCCACTGTTCAGTTTGCGTTTGAGCACTCTTACCTTGAAACACAGGATACCGGTGGAATCAAACCGACAAGCAGCGATGTGTTCAACCTGGGCTGCGTGTGTTAAATGTCTTAAGATTGGCTGTTATTGTCACTAAAACTGGTGGAGTGGGTAAACAGGTGTCTAATACAGTTGTGTGAGTAAAAATTGGTGCGAATCATGAGGGAAGAATGCGAACAGTGGGTTTAAACTTTCCTTTTACACGCTCTTCCTCTGCATGTTACAAATTAGGGGTGTAACCATACAGTCACCTCATTTTCAGTACAATGCAGGGTTCAAAGTTGGTAAACAAAAACTGTGACTGTAAAATGTATTATTTATTCCCCTTTTGATGTAAAATGTGCATATATTTTTGTTACCATTTCTTACATATAATGCTTTGAGTTATATTATGTCATACATATGATGTTGGCTGTTAAAACTAAACAAAGCCAAGTTCAAATAATGAGGTAAACATATGTAAAAGTAAGCCCTGTTAGAAAAAAGCTCAGGCTTCAGACTGCTCTTAATACTTAGTTTCCAGGAGCTAAAATGGCTTATGTTTGGATAGAGGTTGAACTGAAGGGCTGCATAAAGTATATGATAAATAAGGATTTAATATTTTTAGACTGTCAATCTGGAATCCCAGAATAAAAATATAGACTCGGAAATGAGCACAATAGGGCCCCTTTAAATGGTTGTTTCACCCAGATTACCAAAAACATATTTTCTTTTACCTGTAATGGCGTTTTGTTTGTGGTGCTCACAGCATTGAAAAATTAGAGTCCCTGTTGTTCTGGAAAATCCACACACTACTCACTGTGATCACTACAATAGAATGTAGGGAAAATTGTTGACAGTTTTCGGTGCATTATGCTTTAGTTAGTTATAACTAAGTAAGTTATTGGGACATTGTTTCTGGGAAGACATGTTGCTATTGAATTTAAAATGAAAATTGTCAATGCTGGGACTCCCACAAATGAAACTCCATTCACCACTATTGTATTACTGTGGCAGTAGAAATCTAACAACATGGGCAAATAAAACTAGGGTTAAGAGGTAAGTAATCTCAGCAGATCTGTATCTACATGACATATACAAAAGAAGAACAAGTAAAACCTTAATGTCCTCATACAGACTAAATTTCTTGAAACTGGTGTAACATATTCTCAAAACTCCTCATGTCGCCCCAAATTCTAATTTAGACATCTTCTGCACATACTGATTTTACATTTGTTAGGCAGGATTTTTTTTTTTAGGACTTTAGGCTTGTGAATATTTTTACATAGTAAGTGAAACCTTTACAGCATTAATGGATGAAATAATATTGCGCCCTCTGGCATTTTACACAGCTAATTTATTGCATAACTATTTTTTAGCTCCATAATGCATACAGAACGGTCACATTTTGTATCGCAGTATATTGTGCCATAATATATTGTTACACCCCTAATCAATGATGAATATGTCCTCTCACTTCAGGACGAAGTGCAGTCCTTCACAGCTGAATCCCCCCCCTCCTTCAAGCCTCCGCCCCCACCAGGGGTGCAGAGGCACCCAAGTAAACGAGATCAGCTCAACAAATGCCCCTCATCCGAATCCTCCCACTCAGGCTTGTACTTCACAGCCCCGACCTCTCACAACCACAGCAAAGAGCCAGGACACACCCCCGCCTCGCCCTCACTACACCACAAACGAGAACATCCCATGGACCCTTCTCGGGACTACGCGGCCATAAGAAAGAGAAAACCCTCGGTACCTTCCAAGAAAGAACAAATAACAGCTGCTCAGTTGTCCATGGTCACCCAGCACAACATCGGCCCCTTCCCCAGGGTCCAATCCCCCAGCAGAGGCACCACACCTGCTACCCCCTCCCCTTCACCACCGCCTCCACCTCCACTCCCTGCTCCTCCTCCGCCCCCTTCTCTGCCCCTAAAGTCAGTGTCCATGTCCAAAGCCTCCTCTCCTGGTTCTAAACAACAGTTTGTTACAGTGGAGGTTCACAGGCACAACGCAGAGCCCGACGTTAACGAGGTGCGGCCGCTGCCCCAAGCTCGAGGTGAGGACATCGAGCTCCGGATGTAACCTGACATGTATCAAGGGTCACATTTTTGTCATTTGGGTCCTCAAATTAATAACGTGGACATGTAGAGCTGCTACTAACTCTTATTTAAAATTATGATTTATCCACAACATATTTTTCCAAATTAATTGGTTAGTGTTTTGTAGTGAAAAATGCCCATCACATTATCCCAGAGCTCAAACTGAGATATTCAAACTGCTTCTTTTGTCTGACCAGAAGTCAAAAATCCAAAAGTATTCCATTTACAATGACAGACATAGACAAGCAACAGCATTTCACAATTTTGCAATGAGTTAAACAATTAAAGCTGGGAAGCATTGAAATACAAAACGTAGTACTTCTCACCTAACTTTTTCTAGTATTTGTAGTGATTATGAGACATTTAGATTAGATACTGCAGTTTCAGGATTCATTTAATTACACAGTTTCAGTTATGAAGATGTGTATAAATATCATATGGATAATCTCTCCAAATATGTATTTACTTGGGCTTAATGGGCTTAAATGAGCAATTACACAGAACATTGTGTACGACTGCCACTACATGCAAGACATCGCTAATCTTAATACGCTTTTAATCTTATATTAAATTTTAAAATCTGATCTTTTTCCAAACGAATCTTAAAGTCCTTTTTTTTGCAGTGCAGTTAAACTTGACAACATCTTAAACAAAAGACAATCTTTCTTTTTTTTTCAATATCCCCCTAAACTCAAGAAAACTTTAAAAGTTTAAGTAAAAGTGTAAAACCAATAAAGGTAAAGTGTTATATTGCTTTCATACAATAAGATTGAACGCCAAACAATGTAAAGTATGTTGAGATTCCCATCATCACGTCTGCCTGTTTGCCCTCAGGTGGCGCCCTGTCTCAGCTGTCAGACAGCGGCCAGACTCTCAGTGAGGACAGCGGGGTGGACATAGCTGAGTCAGGACACATCAGCAAAGACAGCAGCCCCCATTCCTCACGCACACGTCAACCCCGAGACACCCTGGGGGGCGGGGGGGACAACCCCTCCAAACCGGTGAGGGGGTGATTCAGAACAGCTCTGAGCCAAACATGGATGGATGAGTGGATTCATTGTTAAACTCTGAGGAATGAGAAATGTATTAAATTAATTAGGCACAAATAGTAATTTGTGCCATTGTATTTCTGTCTTTGGGAGGACCAGTTTGACTGAGATCTTTTGAAGTTCAGAAAACTGAGGACATTTTTGCATGGTTAAGAAAGTGATGTCAGTTTTGGAAATTGATGACATTTTCAAAAGTGAAGATATTTTTGGAAAGTAAGGATATTTTTGGAAATTAAAGACATTTTTGTAGATTAGACATTTTTGGAAAGTGAGGAAATTTTGTTGGATCCTCACTTCTTCAAAGGGCTGTTTTGAGGGTTAGTACTCGGTTTTAGAGTTAAGGTTAGAATTTGTTTTAGGTTAAGGTTAGGGTTAGGAGCTAGGGAATGCATTATTATGTCACTGAGGGTCCTCACAAACATAGAAGTACAAATGTGTGTCTTTAAAAAACGAACAGTTACAGGCTGATATATTGACATGCTTTTATTGCCTTCAGGGTCTCTCAGTCCTAACCGTGATCTCTTCTCTCCTCCCTCTGTTTGCTCACACAGACTGTTTCCTTTGTTTCACTCATTTGTTTATTTCTCACTCATGTCATTCATTCAGTCACATGCTCCATCATTTATTTCATCACACACTGCTGTGTAGCATAATGAAGCTCTCAAATCGCTCTCTGGTTCTTATTGATTGATGGAAGGAATAACAAGTAAGGATGGGAGTAGGCGGATTTTTTATGATGAGAGGGCTGTTAGATTCAGACTGGAATTATAATGAAAATGCAAATGCTGAATTGGCTTTGTGTCATAAAAAGCTACATTGTATTGCAAAGGAGCAAGGTATTTCCTTCTGTGTGTTCATGAGTGTCAAGCAAGGGCTGAAAAGAGAAAAAATATATCTGCTGATAAAACCATCCCTAAATAAACTTATTATTATAGTTTACTCATTCTTATGTCGGTCAAAAGACACAACATTGTCTGGTATGGGATTGTCGGCAGTTCTATGTAAAAGTGGTCCAGAGTCACTGAAGAAAATATTGCAAGCCACATATTATGTTTGAAAGAAGGCTGAAGTGAAGGTGAGCTAACCATATTGTGTGTTATATACCGTAAGAACCTAAGTTCATCCCCCTCTGCTAGCTATTCTCTTTACCCTGAAGTTGAGTTTGTTTTCATTTGAGTTTCATTTATTAGCCTTTCTTGAAAAGCAAAAACAGGTTTCTGGGGTTTTCTAAGATACATGTGTGTCTACTGTACTGGATAGTAAAATGGTAACAACTCTTTTTTAACAAATGATAATTTGTTTTTTGTAGCAATAGATTTTCACTTCAGCAGCATGACAGTGGTTTAGGGACGTGTTGTTATTGAAAATAACAATGAATCATGTGACTGTAATGTGAAAAGAATCATTAATAGTGACAGTTCAGCAAATATTTGATGTTAGAGGCTTTGGCTCATAGTTTTGGTTTTGGCGCATGTCTACTGCAAGCACCTGTTTTTAGCAAACAAACTCTGATAAACCCACTGTACACTACCTGCCCAGCAACAGACAGAAATTTTCAGCTACCCAGATAATTTTCTTAGTCTCTTGGTGGAGACCAAACCAGAGCTAAAAAGAGAGTGAATACATACACAAAGACATCCCCAAATGAATGCTAATGTGACTGTCCACTGGATGTATAGGCAACCGTTTGCTAACATGTTGGCAACTCTATAGGGTGTTAATGTGTGTGTCTGTCAGATTGTTTTAGAATATTTCTGTGCCATAATAGTAAAAAAGAAGAAACTAATTGAAGCTTTAGAATTGTACTATCCAGTACATTACACATTGTCTTTCTTAAATTATTTCCAGGGGGCATTTTGCCTTTATTTGTTATTGACAGAAAACATGGGGCACAGACAGAGGGGGTTATGAGATGCAACAATGTGGAATTGAACTGTGGACGCTGCAGCACCACTAGGCCACTATTGGCATTTATCTTAGAATATGGACATAAAATCCCAGAAACATGTTTCAGATTAACATACAGATGAAAGAAACCCCTTTAGAAAAAAAACTGGAAGAGAATCTTTACGAGAGCTGACATGAAGGTGATATAGATAAAGTGAGTAGTGAGTAAAATAGCTTTAAAAATATTTGTTTTTCTGTCCTCTGACTGTTGAAACCACTAAATATGGTCAATCATTTGTGAAAATGTCACCAGGATTTAATATGTGCATGTTAATATAGACTCTTGAGCGTGTGTGCTCAGAGAAAACAAAACACTTCCTTGGATAAATGAAGGCAGAAAAATATATGTGTGCATAGTGGCACAAAGGGGACAACAAACGGGAGGTTGTGTAATGTTTTAGATATAATCAAGTTATAAATATGTTATAACTTTTGCTTCTATCTCTCTCTTTAGCCTGGGCTGTTGGAGCCCACTTCTACACTAGTGAGGGTGGCAAAGAGTGCCAGCACCCTGGGTATTGCCATTGAAGGTGGAGCCAACACTCGCCAGCCGCTGCCACGAATTGTCACAATACAGGTGAGTCAGGAAGAAAATAAAAATGTTTAAAATAATACCCCCACTAAACTCACCTCTAGTTAATCCAGTATCCTTATTAACATGCAGTCGGCTCCATTGTGGGGAATATTCTCCTCGTATTGTTGGCTGATGGTACCATGCACACACCTTCCAGGTGGGATTTAATGCCCTTTAGGGCTTTGTATGAATTCACACTGCAGCTGAACTCACACTGAGATTCCTGCTAATTTTGTACTCATTGGAGCTCTCACAAGATTATAACATTAATGGCATTTACAAAAAAAGGCTCGACTGCGTGGAGACTAGCAGTTTACTGCAATTACCTTTACCAATTACCTTTTACCTTAAGTATGAGGCTGTTGAGGCAGTGTAATGTTGATGCTTAGGAATAAAGACAGAATGCAGGATCAGCAGCAACACTGTGAGTATAGAGCGCCATTTATATAAAAGCTAAACATTAGGCTCAGTTCAGAATATCTTTATGTTTAGTTTAATGATGAGGCTGTACATTTTACATTTCAAGCATACATTTTACATTTGATGCATATTTTGAAAAATACTGGAAATTCGGATCTCCCAGTTATGCAGAATGAAATCCAAATATTGACAGCTTAGCTAGAAATAACAGGTTAGTCACCTCTGAAGAAAGGTATTACTGTGACTGGATGTAGATATATCTGTTAGACATGGCAATTTATAAGTCAACAAAGCCTTGCATTAGCCCAGGACCATCTGTAGCACTAATCATTTCCTAACCACAGAGAACCAGGGAGAAATCAGAGCAGGGAGCAGCTAGACACTACAGTCCACACCCTGTTCAAAGCTGTCTGTCAGCCTCCCACTCCACAGAGGTGGTGATTGAAATAGAAAAGGGGTTGCTGATTGCGAGGGGAGGGATAAAAGGTTTGGAAATCAGCACATTCAGAATCAAAGAGTGCACTGGAAGAAAGGCCAGCAAGTGTGAGTGAAGGATGCAAAAGAAGCAAGAGTGATGTTATTAAGGAGAGGAGGAATGAGGAGGATGTGTACAGATGAAGAAATGGATGTCTAGTGTTGTGAGTGGATGCAGTATTTGAGTAAACAAATGTGATTTAATTCCCAAAGTGCAGTTGTTCATAAGTGCCTGTGATACAAACCCCCCAAACAAATACAGGAAGATGACATATGAACTTCTCTTCCTTTTACACTTGTATATCTGATGTTTGTGTTTCTATTTTTTCTCCTGAAGCAAGAGCACACCTAGCCCAATTTTACATCAGAGCCGCTTCTTGGCTCTATTATTGTATGTTCCTTAGCTGTTTCTTAGCTCCATTCACTCAGAGATAACAAAGCACCAGCTCTTAAATGAAGAAGATATTCTAATACTTAAAGGTGAAAAGAGTTTAAATTATTCAAACATGAACAAACTTTATCAACTAGTATGAGAAGCAACTCTCAAAGTTCTGACGTTATGTCAATGATGTATATATATATATATATATATTGTGTTGCATCTACTGAAGTTCACATTCTAACCAAAATACACAAATCCTGTTTATCACAAAAAGCGCTATTGAAAGTAACAAGTAAACAGTGGCTTGTCACTTTTCAAGAAGGCCAGCACTGCAGCTTTTTGTACGTATTCATCTGATTGATTCGCAAGTCAGGAAACATCCCTTCAGCCCGTGATTGTCTATGACATAAGCACACAGAGAAAGAAAGTTATGTTTAAGAAATGAAGCCCCTGAAGTAGTTTGACCCTTAACCAATCCTTCTCAACATCAAAGACTGAGAGACTAATAAAAATAAAAAGGCAGCTGATTGTAATGGATAATAGCAGAGGAAGGTGGTGCTCTGTCACTGTGGCTTTGGTTTTTAGGGACAAAGACATGAGGAGGCACAGTGCAGCTGCTTGAAAAAAGGTGATAATTTATTTCATGAGCTCACCTTCACAGAGTTACAAGTTAATTCAAACCATTCAGGCAAAGTAGAAATTTGAATCAGGTTAAAATTATTGCTGGGTCTCTGTTATTATTTTTCAAACTGCATAGATTTCATCCAAACTTTGGTTTGCTGAGGTGCAAACCCAATCAATCACAAGCGATACAAAGCCACAAGTTACATGACACCACTGCTACATCCCTGAACAATAACACTGTAGCTTCACTGTTATTTAGAGACATTAATAACATCGCAGCCTCAAGGTCAAATGTTACAGAAATGGAATTTTCAAGGTAGTAAAGTGTGCTATGAAAACTTTGATCACCTGAGGAAAGCTAACTCAATGTTGTTAGGCCCTTGTGCAAGGGACACAACCTTAGTGCTTCCCCCAGTAAGGACCAAGAATCCAAATGATACATTTGCTAAAAAATTTTTTTTAAAAAGCAAGAACATAGTTTCTCATTTTGTTTCTGGCTTTCCCATGGGCATCGGTTCTATCTGGGGGACACAAGAAGGCATCACATCAAAGCTACACAATACTATTTCTTTGCAGTATTGGAAGTAAGCACAGCGGAGCCGTGATACAGCTTCTGCATTTCCTATCTCTCTGGGAACAAGGGCTGTCGCCTCAAGTCACCTCAATCATGCCTGCTGAGGATGAAGTACAGATGAGTAAGCTCCTGCTGGCCGGCGGGTTGTTATCATTCCCGGTTACCGCTACCGAAGCGACAGCCCGTTATCACTGTCATCTTCCCATCGTGATGGCCGACTGCTCCACCAGCTCAGGGTAATTGTTGTTGACTCAGTAAATAAGAGAAGTGATGATGCAGTCCTGGTGTGGAAGGCACTGCTGGTGTTTTTAGCCATCAAAGTTGCAAGTAATAAGGAAGTCAGCGGTCAGGGTCAGGAGGTGGAGAGCACAGAACTGACACAGTGGAAAACATGGTTCTGTGTCTAAATTGGCGAAAAGACCACAAGAAAGTGGAGCCTAGTGATTTTTGGGATGTTGTTAAGACTTTAAAGCAGCATTAGGTATTTTTTATGGCTACATGATGGTAGAAGAACTCCACAACAAGATTACAGTCACACTGCTCTGACATTTTGTTGCTTTATAAAGTTGCTATTGCTAACATGTTAGCAAAAAGATATCCAGCATACACAGAACAATATTATCGGACCAGACAGTCCACTAGGAAATAGCTTAAACCGTCTACATTCTTTTTATCTTGGAGACATGGTGGCTTCTGTTGTGGCTGGTTTGCTTTTGAAAGAAGAAGAAAGTGATTGGCTCAGGAGTAGCACAACCAATCACGAGCCAGTCATCAACACGGAGGCACGCTTCCTCGGCACCCCTGTGATGAACTGCGATTCTTCAAATTTTGAGAGCCAGAGGTTTGTAATTCTGCAATTAATTCGGCGATTAAGGGACGTAAAGAACACACTGCTTCTTGCATTGGAACGTAATGCCGGTAATGGATGTAAATCTTCCACAGCAGAGATGTCCAAATTGAATGCACAGTGAAAGTAATTTAGAGGAAAAACTGGTCTGCGCAGTCTGTGATTAAAATGGATGGAGGCTGCTGGTGATTTCCTCCTTCAGACTGCAGAGAGGGAAAGGACAGCAGTCATGACTTCCTCTGTGCATGTGACCTTAGAGGAGAGGCACATAAGGTGAACAAATGTGACTTTTTAATTCAAGTTTGCTTCAGAGAAACAAGAGTGACATGAGCATGCCGTGGATGAACTTTATAGAGTGAGTTTTTCAGGGCGGAGAGAGGCCTTAGACGCTTACTTCACACAGAAGATAACCCCCTCTGTTCTGCAGTTCACACCGTGGGCAAGGATGCTGAAATTGATGGCATTCCAGTCAAGTTTTACTGATTCTTGTGGGACTTGTTGTGCAGGGATCTGCTGGCTATTTCAGAGTCTTCTGATTTCACTGCCAAGGAGCTGAGACTTGCTCAAGAAATGAGACCTGAGACCTTGTGTGTTTTGTGAATGTGTTTCCTGCATGTCTCAGGGTAACAATAACAGACCACATTTTTTAATCACATGTGAAATGTGTGATGATGTACTGGAACTGCAAGAGGGAAGTGTTGCCATTCAGGAGAAAGCAGGGTCCACTGATAACGTTTTTTAACACCGGCCTTGTCGGGCAAATGTGTTAAGAATCTAGTGGTAACAAAAATAAATAAATTCTACAGGCCCTGATTCAAATTTAAATTATGTCACAGCGACTGACAAAGCCATTGAGCGTCTATTTACCCGGGTGAAATGTAAGGGAATGAAGTATTTGTGTTGTTTTATTTGTTTTTGTTAATCAACTGTTTCCCCACTTTTTTGAATACAAAAGTTCAAACAGGCATCTGTAGAACATGATGTTAGTTCATTACAATACAACTCAGAACATGACAGCCACTAGCGGAGCAGAGCAAAGTCTTGGAGAGTAGAGCAGACGTAACAATATCGCTCGCAAAGGCTGCCTGCATGCATTTACTGAGCCTTCACTGTGTGCACTGAGGGCCAGACTGCAGAGGTGTGTTTGTGTGTGTGTGTGTGTGTGTGTGTGTGTATTTGTGTGGCTGTGAATGTGGTTTTCTGTGACAGTGTATCTATTTCCGTATACTAATGAACTACCTTGTCACTCGCTTGGGTTGGTTGGGTGTGTTTTGTATTTGTTTCATTTGTTTGTGTTCATTCCCTGCCTTGTGTTTGCTCTTCTCTGTAGTATGTGTTACTTTATTTATTAGTTAGGTGTACTTGTTATGAGTTCATCAGTGTTTCTAGTCTTGTTTCTATGTTCTTTACTTCTGTAGGTTTTTTCTATAAGTCACTTATGTTGTCTGTTATGTTTCATGTTGTGACATTGTTCCTTGAGTGTTTCAGTTAGCTTTACTTCCTGTTTTAGTTTGTAGTTAGTCTGCCCTAGTGTCTCTTGTCATGTTTTACTTCCTGTGTTTGTCCTTGATTGTTTTAGTAGTCTCACCTGTGTGTAATTAGTTTCTCCCTCACCTGTGTATTTAAGTGGTTGTCTGTCTTTCACTTGTTGCCAGTTCATTTTTTGATGTTTCCTGTATTTTTCTGTGTTTTTAGTGTTAGTTTGTCTCTACAGGCGTCTCTCTGTGTTTTGAGTTTAAGTCTCAAGTTTAGTCTCCTGTTTAGTTTCACGTCTCTCGGTTCCTTGTGGATAATTCTCTCATTTTATATTTTTTGACTTTGTTTTCACCTGTGCTGTTAGTTTTCACCTTAGTTGCAATAAACCTCACCAACTCTCCAGTTTCCGTCTCAGTATCTGCATTTGGGTCCTAAACTTCTGTTCTCCTATGTTCAGCCAGGAGGTTGATACTCATAACATACCTGTCACATTTATGGGAGGATGTTTGAATTTTAGCTTGGGCACTTAGAGGATTGTGTTTACTTCGGTGAAAAAGAACAAAAGTAAGGATCTCAGATTGTTGTAGAAACTCTTTGTAGGGCATCTGAGCTACAGAAGCAAGTAGACTTCTTTTTGGCGGGATAGCCTAGGACCCGATCTGCAGATTAGATGTAAATATAATTTTTACCTTTTGAGATTTTTGATGATTGCATTTGATCACAGACAGAAGTTCCTTTTTTTTTTTTTTTAAACAACTAAACTTTGATAAGTTGTAGGTCATTTTACAACACTTACCCCTTGTCTGATGAAATTTCCCAGCCCCTCTAAGACTCCAGTATGAAAAATATTGGTTCTGCTGCAAAGTAAAGTTGACTTTTAACTATTTGCTCAAGGTGCCATCATATTTCTTCAACCAAAGATAGCAACCAGTTCTCATTTTTATGACATAGCACTAAAGTTGAAACTTTTGTTAGCTAGATTAATTATTTTTTGTTTCATTTTAACACATGATTTTGTGCTTAGATTTTCCAGGTTTGTGTTTTTTGTTCTTCATGCATTAGATGGGAAACAGGTGCAGGGGCTTAATTTTTACATTGAGGCTGACATTTTGTATACTTGGCTTTGAACTGATAGCTGTTACAGTAGATTTATAGGGCTTCAGTCAGGAACATTTTTGTGTTTTTATCCTAAACCTATACTTTCTTCCGTGAGCCTCGCTTGTAGGAGTGTCCCAAGTCAGATTTGGCAAATTGCTCATTTCAACTTGATGAATGCCACCTGTTCATGTGTAAATACACATTTGTAAGATGTGATCATTTGTATGAACGCCCCCAACTTGCTATTTAAGGTTGCCTGTTCTTCTTTTGTGGGGAAGTTTCATCCTCAAAAATATCACCAGAGTGTTAAAAAGAACATCACACTGCTTCAAGTGCAGCTGTCAAAAATCAGCAAATTCAGGGTGCTTTCAAACCCAAACAGTTTTATTTGGTTAAATCGATCTCTGGTGCTCTGGAGGACAACCAGATTGAGACTGCCTGAAAAGAAGGGTCTCGGTCTGCTTCCAAGCAGACGCTGTTGTATTTTGTTTGAGGTGTGAAAGTAAAACAGACCAACCAAGGCACTGTGAAGCAGATATTTGATTTTAACATAAGTTACACTACTATTAAATCCATCTGCTGATCGTGAACTTACATCTCTCAATCTATATAAACAACACGCATAACATTTTATGCTCATCAACACTACAGATCAGAGAGTGTAAAGGACTAAAACCAGAAGGGTGTTGAACTTGTGTCTAGTACTTTTGCTCTGGGTTTGTTTGCAGTAAGTCAGCATTAACAGACTAGAACTTAAAACCAGACCAAATCTAAAAGGCAACAGTGTATCTTTTTTTCCTCGTTCCAGACCAAATTAACCAAACTACAGAGCGTGAGAGCACCCATAAACTCCAAATAAATTCCAATGAAGGTACTTGGGAGAAAGGCTGACTATGTGTACATGACTTGTACAGCCCTGTGCATGGTTGAACCACCCATGAATATAGTTTGTGCTGAAGTTTCTAAAATTGGTAAATCCCACAAGTTCAGTTAAATCACTTGTATGTGTCCCTTATTATCAGATTTGTTTGTACTAATGGTTCTGACACAAGGTCCATTTATTGTGTTTTTCATCAGTCCAAATTTTAAATAATCTCTCGCTCTCTCCCTCTCTCTCTCTCTCAGAGGGGTGGTTCAGCTCATAACTGTGGCCAGCTGAAGGTGGGTCAGGTGATCCTGGAGGTAAACGGGGTTTCCCTGAGGGGCCGTGAGCACAGGGACGCCGCACGCCTCATCGCTGAGGCCTTCAAGACCAAAGAGAGGGACTACGTGGACTTCCTGGTGACCGACTTCAACGTGGCGCTATAGCTGAGTGGAGGAGGAGAGAGGACGATGACGAGACCAGTACAGGAGAAGAAGAGTCTGGGGACAACATGAGAGGAAGAAATTCAAAGCATTTGTTGATTTAAATGGCACAACTCTTTTAGAACCACCAACTGATCTCTGAGCCCTTTCTCAAAAACCCACCCTTGAGTCTGGACACAAATTTACAAGGTATTACTTCTGCTGTGGACTTCATTCAGGATTCTCCTCAACATGTTACCTCCCCACTGTGAGACCTTATGCACTAAAAATGGAAAGTAGTGAAACCTATACGTTTTTGTTCTCTCAGCAACCATTTGAAACTCACTGGAACTTCTCGTAGCACTCCCAAGTCCCATGGTCAGTTTATTTATTTCTTTTTTGCTTCTATCTGAGAGACAACTGCACATCTAAGACTAATTCACGCTTGACTTTATAAGCTTGGATTTGTAAATGTAAAAATGAACAAATGTAGATACAGATGCATATATACCGTACACATAAAGATACTATATGAATTATAAAACCTGTGACATCTGTTGCATCATCGACATATAGTAATATATTTCAAAGATAATGATAATTCAGGCCATCCTGGCAAGTGAGGCCTGTCTGCGTACTACTACCCTTTCACAAATGAAGCTAACAAAGATACACATCATATGCTCATAATTGTTTAATGAGACAAACAAAAAGACACGTGAATGATGGAAATCTTCAGATGGGTTCCACACAAATGTGCGTTCATTTCCTTTTTCCTTTCTGCTTCTCCCTGTGTATCTGTATTGTTTGAGACTGTCCACACTTAGACAGCTGAATTTGAAAATGCTGTTTACGGGTGTCCACAATACAAACATTAAGAAGTGGCTAAGTCATTTTTTCTTTTTCCATTGGCAAACAACACATTTCCACATCACTGCCAAAACCTGGTAAGGAGTGGAACGGAGAGTCTAGAGTCTTAGCTGTTTAAAACTCAATTGTCACCTAAACTGTTTTAATACAGCCGATTTCACAATTTAGTTGACATATTTTTCTCTGTCTGTTTTCAGACACCTGAACAAGTATTGTAAGTAGTGAGCAATCATTTGATGGCAGGTTGTAAATGCTAGCTGTTAACCAGCAAGCTTTTCCTGTTTTGCTCCCGTCAGGCGTCAATAAAATTCCTAATAGTTCCTCCTTGAGCTGCTACTTTGTCAGAAATACAACAGAAGAGCAACTGGTGGATGTCTTTACAGTGCTGGCAAACAATCACATGGTTTTAATAAAGAAGTCAATAACTGGCCTTTTCCCATTGTGCTACGAGCCACTGCGGTCTAATTTCATGCTGCGCACATTGCGAGTGTGTTTAATACACAACAACAGTGCACAGCAAAACAAGTTGGCTACCTTGCTGAGGAGTTGGAGGTGTTCATCCTGTAGCTCTTCGTCTAACAGTTACACTGGATTACATGCTGCATTGTTTTCTTTGAATCCCTCATGCCTGTAGAAGCAATCTGAATGGCGGACCCTGCTCCATAACGATTGAAACAATAAGAGAGGTAATTACAGAATGTAAATACAGTTAATGATGAAAAATGTCAGCCATCAATAGTATGACAGTAGAATGACAACACCTTCACTGTAGCCAAGTTTCTTACCACAGTACAGACTAAAACACGAGGCCACTGTGTTCATATTCATTCACTCTAGAGAGCAATTTTAAAGACACTGGATCAAAGATGCATTGTCAGATTTGGCCAGTTTAGTGTGGTAGTACTCTGAGATGGGATAAAATCCCTCAGTTTTTCCCTCAGAGCGCTCAGTTTTTCTCCTGCGGCTTTCCTGACTGAATAACAATTGAGTAATTTTATTTTGTAATTTCATAGTTTCAATTATTTTCACCCAGGGGGGGCTTGAAACCGTGCTCAGTGCAGCAATTATGCCCAAGAGGAGAGTAATGAGACATTTAGAGGACGAGACTGCCAAAGATTTTAGAAACACGTGTGTGCACGCACGCACACATTTCATCCATTTATAGAAAAGCAATTAGGAGATAAGCAATCAGGTAGAGTGAGCAATGGAGCGAGAGAGAGAGAGAGAGAGAGGGGGAAAAGAACATGAGAATGAGTGAGTAACTAAAGTAACAAATGAGACGTGATTGTTGTTGGGGAGATGATTTGCTTCCTCTCAGGAAGGAGTGCAAGCGTGAAGAGGATGTACAGCAAACATCCTCCTCACGTGTCACTCCAGAGACTGACATTAGGCTGCAGGTAGAAACATGAAGTAATTGGTGTAATTAATCTAAGTGTGCTGTGCGTGGATGTGTGTTGCGCGTGTGTTTAATGTGAGTGGTGTGTGTCTGTCTGTAGGAAATGGATGAAAAGAGAAAAGATGTGCTCCAAACAAGGAGACGGCAAATAAAGACGAATGTAAATGTCATCAAGGGAGCTGCTGTATGAGACATACAAAGAAGTGAAGCAGTAGCCTGGCAGTCTGGGATTTGAAGAACGCCAGCAGAGCAGCTCTCTGAGAAATTGCTATCAAACACTCCTGAATCATTCCGATGACAAACTGAGGGAAGAGAACACCATATTCATGCTTTGTTTTTACAGCATCTACCGTCCATCTTCAAAATGTCATCATTTAATGAAGAAAAAACAAATGTTTGGAATGCACTTCTAAGATTTTTCAAAGGTCATACTCGTAACCAGTATGTTTGTACCTGTAATCCCAATAATAATAATCTCAAGAAATAGTTTTTTAAAGAATCTATTATTTCTTGATAGTCTTAAAAATCTGATAAAACCTTTCAGACGAAAGAGATGTTGAGAAGTAACAAAACAAACAATATTTTTTTAAGCTGCTTGACTTGATTTTGTCCTCTAGAGGCCTGAAAGTTAATTCATTCTTTGATTCCTTCTCTGTCGTGTTTCTATCACTCCACTATCCAGCCTCCTTTTAGCTATGGCTTGGTCTCCACCAACCCCTGTGAAAAATATCTGCCTCTGTAGCTGCACATGTTTCACTTTTGTACCAGGTAAAGTTTTGTTCCGCCGTTCTTTGGTGCTGGGAAGGTAGTGAGTTGATCACAGCTTGCTTACTGAAAATAGCTACCTGACGGTGTGTACAGACAAGAGGTGAAGCAAATTTAGAGGTACATTTTGCACTCTGCTCGTGCACTCCTTGCGCATTTTTGTATACGGTCTATGGCATGAACATGTGTTTTGGGGGAGGGGCTTTGGAGGGAGGCCAGAAGGATACTTATACTATAATTGGATACTTTCAAACTAGCTGGCTCCAATGCAGTTTCTCCAATGCTACCTACCCCAGCTTTAAACCACTAGAGGTCAGCAAAAACAAGATTTTCTGAGGTTACTCATTACTCAACATAGTTTCATGCATCCCTAACAAATATGCAAACTAGGCTTTTGTAAAACTTTTGTCTAACAGCTGACATGAAATTCCTCCATTCATCTAAAAATATATGTTTAGACATTTATTTTATGTAAGTGCTTGATGTCAAACTTTTCACATTAGAATTTTGTCCCAAATCAGAAAACTAAAAAGCCTTTATATGTTAACATTTCCAACTGACATGTTCCCATTTTCATGCAAAGTTAATTTCAAACCTGATTTTGGCACAGGATCAGGAAACATATATACATTGTATAAATGTGGACCACTTGAGCCTTCAAAACCAGAGTTTTTATGAATATTTAAATTCCCCTCTGCCTCACAGAGCGGCAGGTTAAAAGACAGTCAACATAAAAGTAGTGACGTGATACAACCGAAGAGGTGAATCAAGATGAGATAAACCCACTGTGTGTCTGTTTTTTTGTAGATTTTTAAAGGGCAGCCTGCACCTGTAAATCAGAATAAAATGTCAATAGTTAAGGCTTTAAAACAGGAAACAGGGAAAAGCTCCCATATACAAATAGTCTCAAATAGGCTACTGAGTACATCTATTCATTTGATATGCAGAAAATGTCTCTGTATGCATATTCAGGACGTGATACAAACTATCTGAAAAATAATGTACTTACCGCAACCACTAACAAACTTAAAATTCAGGATGCATCAGTGTGTGTGTGTGTGTGTGTGTGTGTGTGTGTGTGTGTGTGTGTGTGTGTGAGAGAGAGAGAGAGAGAGAGAGAGAAAGACAGAATGAGCTAGATAAGAAGAGAGCGGGAGATAGAGAGAGATTCACACACAGATGAGCGCTGGAGTGCGTCCTCTCAGTGGAATTACTCGCTGTTAAACAGTCGAATCTAGAAGGAATTGCAGCCTCACAGATGAAGGCTTTTGTGACACCATCCCTTCAAAGTGAGAAGAGGAGATGAGGAAAGAGAAAATGAGGAGAAAAAGAAGAGGATGTACATTGTTAAACACTGCTTTGGCCAAACCTTTGATGGAAAATAATACAACAATTGAATCTGTCCAGTGAGAACAACATACTATATCTTTAAATTAGATTTTATTTATTTTGCTTTTGAAGATCTTGCTAATAAACTGAAGAATTAAAATTTTCTCTATGGGTTAAGGGAATTCTCCCACTTCTGAGGCTACTAAAAAACCCTTTCAAATGCCTTTGGAGTAACTCAAAAATGCAATGCCACAAATAGGCTAAGGTTTCATTTGAAAATGTTCAATACCAAACTTTGTTTCCATACTGACAAAAAGAGTACTTACTGCCTTACCACAAGTATACAGATGTTTTTCTACAAAAGCCATTTTTCATTAAACGGATAAGGCCAGTATATTGTCAGCATATCCCATGAACAGATTTAAACCAACAGTGTGTTAGTCTGTCTCTGAATACTTTGTGACTTGCCCTGTCTGTGGCTCTCAGCCTCTAACCCATTAGTTCCTACTGAAGATGTAAATCTTCCAAAAACAATCACAACTATATAGTATAGCATATAGTTTCATTTTTGAAAAACGCTGCAGATTAATACACATTTGGTGCTCTAGTGATTATTTACAGCAGCAGGACTGACTGTATGTGGGACTGACTCAAGATGAACTGCGGTATCTGTGATATTTATAAAGAAGTAACATGTCAGCTAGTGCAACAATGTGGCTCAGTGATGCGTTTTTAATAGTTTGTGGACAACAATGGAGCTCTATGGCACAGAGGAATAAGGCTTTGGATACACAGACAGTATTTTTTAGTAGGATCAGTCCATTGTTGGTTTTTGTCTTTCCATGGGATTTGTTAGCAAACATCTCAAATGTTAAATGTTGTCTAAACATAAGCAGCCACACAACAACTGTGCATAAATAAAGTCTGAAATTGGGGGGGGTTATAGTTAATTTTTCAAACTGCCTCATCAAAGAATAAATGAAGAAGAGTCCATTAATGCCAAAGTTCCCTTGAGTAAGACACTGTTCCCCTCCGTGCTGCTGGCTGTACCCTGCTCAGGTGAAATGTAGATAAATGCAAACATGCCTCAGAGAAAGTCAAACGTGAAAACTGATGAATAAAGCTCTACAGGAAAAGCAACAGCCACAATGATATTAACCACACATTTATTTATTTAGACATTTATAAACCATGGTAAAGCTGTCTAATAATCATCCGTCAGCATCACAGAAACTTTTCGTGAGTGAACTCCATTATGACCCCAGCTTGTAGACACGTGTCGATAGTGGCTCGGCCTTTTCATTGACCTGATATTAAAGGGCCATCCAGGAGGGACGGATGATGGAGGGAAGCGATGTAAGCTGCTGACAGTCTCATTAGTCAGACTCCAAGACAGAGAGGTGCTGGCCTTGGCTCAGACATGAGACACGACAGCTCAGACATTGACTTGTTGCTCATGCTGTAGCAAGGTGCAAGGGTTTGCCCCCCACCCCCCACCCTTAACCCTTAACCACTGATTCCCCACAAAGGTCAGACTCATAAACCAACCAACACCACTTGTTGACTCTATTGATAATGTTTATTTGTTTCACTGAGTGTGCCTCCTGCTTTATTAGCTGCACATGTTGATTTTGTTGGTGTTCATTTTTCAACCCTGTTGCTTTTCTTAGTCCGTGAGTGGCAGTCCACCTGTCTTTTTGCCTGCTTCCTGCACATTTTAACGAGGAGTATTGTACGACAACATGCTATTTATACAGAAAGTGTGTTTAATTTTTCAATAAAGATATCTGCACAAAAACTAACAAGCTGCCTGCTTTTATTATTTTATTTTGATTATAAGGAGCTTGTCACTGCTTACCTAAATGGTCAAGTATGGAGATTTGTTTCTATTGTTTTGGGCCCCTTAATTCCATTGATGGGAGATCGTAATGCTGCACCATACAATGATATTTTAGACAATAGTGTGCTTCCAACTTTTTGGCAGCAGGTTGGGCGAGGTCCTGTTCTGTTTCAACAATACTGTGCCCCAGTGCACAAAGCCAGGTCTATAAAGAATTGGTTTTCTAGTTTGTAGCGGAAGACTGGCCTATACAGAGCGCTGAAACCCATCTAACACAAGTGGGATGAACGCAGACTGTTAGCCAGATCTTATCACCCAACATCAGTGGTTGACCTCTCTAATACTCTTGTGGCTGACTGGGAGCAGATCCGTGTAGCCAGGTTTGTAAATTCTGGAGGCAGCAGAATAACACCCATGGCACAACATTGTTGTAATGTTAAAGTGTCGACATGCTTTTTACCTTATACTGGTGAAACTACACAAACAGCGTATGGCAGACAACCCCGCACTTAAACGTTTCCGTTTCATTTGTCATTCCTTTGTCTCTTGTTCTTCCATGCTCTTTATAGATTCATTTTAGTTCAAAATTCCCTGCTTATATGTTTTAAATTTTCTTCCACTCCCAAAAAACAAATGTACAAAAGCAGCAACAAAACGCAACCCCAGATGGTAACAAGGTCAGCAGAATCACAGCTTTCATATTATAAGCAGAAAATACAGTACTGAATTGTACCTCAATCCAAACTCCAATACCACTTATCTAGTTCAGGGTCGAGTGGGAGTTTAAGGAGCCTATTCTAGCATGCACTGGGTGAGAGGCAGGGTACATCCTGGACAGGTCACCAATCCCATCCTTTCTCCAAATGGGATTCTTGAGTGATTTAATGGGTTACAAGGGTATATGGGTAGGTTTATTTGTCACATTACAACAGGTTGTAAAGTGCAATTAAGTTTATAAGCAGTGCTGAGGATGAATTTGAGTTTAAAGGTCTGATAGCTTGGGGGGGGAAACAGCTATGCAGTCTGGTGGTGCAGCAGCTGAAGCTTCTATATCGCTTCTCAGAAGGCAGCAGGGTGAACAGGCTGTGGCCGGGGTGGGTACTGTCCTTTAGTATCCTTTGGGCTCTGCAGGCACCTCACCTCACCGATATCACTGATGCTCGGGAGATGGGCACCAATGATCTTCTGAGCAGTTTTAATCACCCGCTGCAGAGCCCTCCGGTCCTGGGTCTCATTTAAGTTTTCTTTATTAAGTCTCATTAAGTCTAATTAAACTCTTGAGATATCTGTTTTGTAGGCAACTAACATGGACATTGCCTTGTTCCCCTTTTAAAAATGGTGAACAATCTTCTGTTATTTGTACATTATTTGTGTTTGTGAAACTGTATTCATGCAAAAATGCCAAACCACGTCTGGTTCTAACTTCTCAAATGTGAGGATTTCTGTTTTTCTCTGTAATTGTAAATTATATATATTTCATTTTCGGATAAAACAAGCAATGTGAAGACGCCCATTTGGTCTCTGGGAAATTGTAATGGCCCTACAAATTACATAGATTCATACAAATATGAATTGGGTGTCTTCCTGGTGGCTGCACTCAAGAGATGATGATAGGGCACTGACTTTCTGTTGACATGTATTTTTCCTGGTGCATTAGGGTCTGCAGTTCCTTCTTTGTAAGTAGTGAACATACAGGCCTCTGGCAAACAGATCTGCCTATGACAGGCTGAGACAGCCCCCAGGCAGTGATCTCTGAGACATGCAGACCAGATTTTGGATCAGTGCCAGTGACCATACTCTACCATTGTGTCTTCTCTGTTCATGTCAGTAGAATTTACTGCAGGTTGACTTTGTTTTTGTTGTTGCTTCTTATCAAGTTGAAATATTATTTTGCTTTTGTGTAGGTAAAGTATGAATGTGACAGATTATTGCACAGTCCTGATACAGGAGAGGGTTGACTGCTGTCAGCTTTGTGGTCATCTCTCTGTCTGTGTCTTTCTCTTAGCTCAGTTTCTGACTTTTTGACATGTACTTTAAATGTATTTTAGCAAAGCCAAAAGAAACTCTAAGAAAAGATGCTTTGAAAATAATTGGTAAAAGTGATTGTGAAATGATGAAAAGATGATGAGGAACACAAATAACACATCCTACACATCCTGTTTCAATGTGACATGTTGGCACCTTAATATTGCACCCACATGCAAGACTGTTCTTTATTTTTAATCAGTCTACTGCACTGGGCCACTACAAAGCCTCAACCTGAGACTTATTTTGGCCATGTAGAGTGTATTGGAAGTGTAATCATTTCTGCAGATAATTAACCTTGAAATGGCAAATTAATTTGTTCTCAGTTAGTAAATTAGTCTACCAGGAAGGATAAGCCTTACTGTTTGGACTCTTTGTTTGTTTGGATGACTTTAGTTTTTACATGCAAAAGCACAGTTCATTTGATTGTGATTTAACTTTGTCAGTACATTTAATTTGCCATTAAAATCGTAAAAAATATGTTCTGTATTATCTACATCACAGCAGTGTAATTAAACAATTACATCTGTACCAGCATCTTTTGAAAGTGGATCAGTGTGTTAACCACTACACGCCATAAATAAGTTGACACCCAAACAGTACAGTCATGTGTAATTGCTGAACAATCCTTATAAAACCATTGCTGCTATAACAGCCTACACTCTTGTGGGAAGTACAGGCCAAGTCCTTCAAACAGGAATTGCATGATGGTTTTTACTGTTGCAGAGTTGAAGAAAAAAATTTTATATATTTAATATGAAAATAGATAAAATTTAAATCTTCTTCCCACACAGGAAGGAAAAGATGAAAGGTGTTTAGTATTGTTGGATGATATCGAAAAGTTAGGAAATGGTGCACTCTGGTGGCCATTAATTGGAACCGCAATCCTCCGGCTTTGTATTTCTAACAATTCAATTCAATTCAAATTAGCTTTATTGGCATGAATGTGTAACAACAATATTGCCAAAGCATCACACATACTACAAAAGAACAATCAACCCCATACATTTCATTAAACATCAATCAACTTTAAGTCCCGCCCCTGAGCAGCCTCATAACCAATCACCAGTCAGTCTTTGGCTTCAAGGCATCTTAAACATTTTGTCCTGAGTATCGACTGTCAGGTAACGCTACCCCAATAAACTCCACAAATTAAACGATTATTTTTACCCTGAGGCTGTCAAGTGTTAAATCTAAGATCAGAACCACTGTCTTTAAAAGGTGATTTTTGTACGTGGTCTGTTGGTAGAGAAGGTTAAAAAAAAGCCTGAAATGCTAAACTCATGGCTGCAGTTTCCCATAGTTGGTTGCATCCATCTGGTAACTACTCTGCCAGCTAAAATCAGTGCCACACTACACGAGACTGATAATTAGCCTCATAAATATCAGAAACCCCGGCTTTCACGGGAGAAATGAACTAGTATAACTCCTCCAGAATTAAGGTACCAGCACTATGTAGCTGAAAATCATCTTAATAAGGGTGGTTTGCGTTTGTTTTGGTGTCTAAGTTAGGAGTATGTGATGGTAACGATAACCAACTTTTGAAACTTTTGCCACTGACTCTGTTAGCTAACGTTAGCTCAGCATTAACGTTACTAACCGTTCTCTCCACCGTTACTCAGCGGTTTATGAAAGACAAATAAGTTGCTACATTTAAGTTGTTTAACGAATGCGTAGGCTTGAAAGTGTTTGAGGAAACCTCAGTAACGTGACCTGGTAACTGTCGGTGGTGGTTTGTTGTGGTGTGTGTGCCATGGTGACACAGGGGTGGGTCTCCTCAAGTTTGCGGTTTTCAAGACAACCGACCCCGTTGCTGTGAGGTCTTCCTGTGAAATCTCTGCAGTCTTTTTAAAATCCTGCCTGCTGAATCGACGGAATAGATGTATCTACTTATAATGTGAGGTAAGTTTGCAATGCACCTATGTTGATACTACTTTCTCTTCACAACAGTGTTATTTTGATTTCTCAGAAACGCAGAAATATTGTTTCTGCTCTGAGCTCCTCAGCCCACCAGCCTGACTGGTTGGACTTGGTTAACAGTTGTTGGTACTTGGATGTTGCTGAACAAGTCTTTCTTGAGTTGAAATCACCGGAGCTTCTTGTTGTTGCAAAGAATGGGACGTGTTTGAATACTGTGCATATATAAAAAAAATCGCTGTAACCTCTCTGAAACAGTAACGTTAGATTAAAAGCTTTCAGTGTGAGAGAGACTGCTGTTTCCAGAAAGAGTAATGGGAGGAAACTTGTTGTCTGTTGCCAACATTTAAAAGCATCTGATCAAATAATATGTCAACAAGATTTGATCAGAATTCAATGCAAACTTTCTGTGCTCGATTCTCTGTGCCAAGGACACATTCCAGTCTGTACCAGTATGTATTAAGTGTTAAGGGAATTGCTATTTGGAACATTTTAGAAAACGAGCAGTGAAATCTTGTCTACTTTTATTTAAAAAGGCTTTCTCAAACATGTTCCTGGATGTCCAGGTCAATAAAGCGGCAGCTAGAATGCAAACTGAGGAGGAAATATAACCTATTGTAAATACAGTAGAAATTCTCCTTTAAATAGTGCCTTTCTTACACAAGCAAAGTTGATGCCTTCAAATTGCTTGTTTTGTCCAATCAACAGCCTTAAATCCAAAGATATTCCAATAACAATGATATGAAAAGAAGCAAATCCTCACATATTGATAAATGACTTCAATGATTAATTGATTGTTGACATTGTTGATTAATTTTCATTCTATCAAGTAACTGGTCCTCCTCTAATAATTTCATCAGCATTTTAAATCATGATGCAGCTTCCTTCAGTCACTCTTTTCATAGTATATCCTGTGTCCTCAGCACTCCCTGTGCCTCCTAAGAAGATTAGCTGTCATGTATTAGTCACTAGGCCATCCTAAACAGCTCAGTGTAGCTTTGTCAGCCTGTGGGGCAGCTCCGGCCACACTTCTGTTCACTGTGCTCAATATTCAGCCAGTGTCCCCCCTGTGAAAATTCACGCAGTGTCCTTGTTGGCTGGGCTTTGGTGGGACGGGGAATGAAATTAGGACTTGGCAGAAATTCTCGCCCTTTCTTTTGTCTTGTCTTCACTTTTCCCTCACTCACTCTGTCAGTCATTTTCTCTCTCTCTCTCTCTCTCTCTCATATGTTCCCGCACCTCAGTCCCAACTGCCCATCCTTAGCTTGCCTGACAGTCAGGTGATTAAAGCCGTCTGTCTGTCTGTGAGCAGCTGAGCTAGTGTCTGGATGTATATTGTCTGTTTACGATCGGTGAAGCCCCCTGTAAGGGCTTTAGAGCAGCTTAGAGCCTCCCCCCCTGTAAGGCAGCTAAAAGAAATCCTTAGTAGTCTGGGAATGAACAGGGAGCATGAGCAGAGCAACAGGTGAGTTGTTTCTTTGATTTATTCTTACCAAAGAAAAGCTCAGAAATCCAACCATTATGGAAAACCTAGAAAGGGCCTATTATAATACAAATTCCAAAAATATACTTAAATTAAAATAGTCTAGTGACATTACAGACAAGTTTTTCTAGTTAAAATAAAATAACCTAAATTGGCAAAATTTTGATTGAAATCAGAACTAGCTGATCTACGAATTAGTAAAGAAGAGAAAAAATCTGACCAGACATTTGTTGCCGGTCTTTGCTACCTGACAGTTTTTCACACATGATGTTCTGGTGACACATTTTGGTAGGTACGAAAAAAGTGCCCAGTCCTAGTTGGCAGTGTTATAGCTGATTGGGGTGGAGCTGATTTGAACTAATTTATATAGTGTGCAATAGTTAAAACAATAACAAAAATCATTTCTTTATATATCTTTCAATGGTAACTGTAATTACAGTATAGCAATCAGTAAAATGTAGGGAAAATACAAATTTCCCTCTAAATTGTAAGGGATATAGTTGCATAAATTAGACATTTTCAGGGAAAGTACAGGTATCTTAAAATTGTACTTGAGTAAATGTATGTAGTTACTTTTCACCAAGTCTAACATCTGCACATATTTTCATTCTTGTGTCCTGGCAGGGTTAACTCCTCATCACCCATGAAGTTCTTGTTCTTGAAGAGGGCAATGAACAAATAATGCTATAAGTATACTGTGAACAATTTCTGTTCTGAACTACTTGTTTTTCTAAACCTAACTCTCAAGTTGTTTATCCTCTGTATTGAGTGCTGTTGTGCATTGTGGTCTTCTTTAAAGGCATGATGAGCGTGCCGCGTTGGCCCGGCGGGGAGACTCGCTGCTGATTTGTGTATGAAAGGGGTTGTAGAGAGACCACAACGTCAGTCCTGTTCACTGAGCCTTGTGTTTGTTTCTAACACTATACAAACAAGTGTCTGTGGATGCACATGAGTGTGTCTGGTTTTCTGCACAAATATCATATTCTCCAGATGGGTGTGTGCGTTTGTGTGACATTTGTGTGTCAGATAAGAGACAGTAAGAAACACCAGGCCAATAATCTACTTGCGCTAATCTGGGGTATTGATAAAAGAAGCAAAGCACTTTTCTTAATGAGCATCTGAGTGCTACTGTACACAATGTACCTCACAAAATGCCAATTTCATTGCATTAAGATGACAAAAAGTTTCTCTGATATTGACTCTTCTTAAGGCCTGTGACTTGGTATGTGGTCAACCAAAGTGTCAAAGTGATGTTGTGTCAGAAATGTGTGTACATCTCAAGGAAATATACTGTGATAAAAACGATGAAAATAATCACATTATGTGGAATATGTGCTGATGAAGCCCATTAATATTGATTTTGATGACATTTGAGAATTTGGTTATGTGGCTTTTTACATAAGCATTTAGCATCATGTATAACTTCATAAATAAAATGAATGTTCTCTTCGTAACATTGTAACAGACTGCGCTGTGGTGAGGCACTGGCGGTGTAGCTGTAACACAGTAGACTTGTCAGAGATGTTTTATTGCAGACGCTGAATAGCGCAGCTCTTGTTGATGTTGTGGAGTTGCCATAGTGAGCTTTGCAGCGCTAGGCAAATACTTTGGGGACGTGATGTGACGTTGTGAACTAGCAGTCTAATCCGAGCTCTGTTACATGTATGATAGGCTTGAGTCATAGTAAAGAACATAAATGCTGAGTGGTGCGACCTGATAGCACCGGATTTGAGCAGGGGGCAATAAAATGAATGTGTATGCTGTGTAGACTTAACACTGAGTTCATGTCAACTTGGACACGAGTCCTTAAGTGCTGAATCTCACACAAGATGTCGGACACAATGAAAATCAACACCACGTAATGCCAGATAATAGATCTCTATGTACATTGGTGGCTGGGCGGCCCACCCAAGTAAAGTCTGTATGTGTGAGACACTATTGGCACTGCTGGAAACATCTGCACCTTACTGCTGTGAGAGAAAAACAAACAAAAAAAACATTAAACAACTAAAAGCTTTTAATGAATCACTAATCCAATGTGATATGGTTTTTATAACAAGATGCCAAAGTTGATATTTTCTGTTTTGATTGATATGAAAGCATTTAATCCACACAGCAGCAGCTCCTCCTGTTGAAGAACGATACACTCACTGTTTATGAGAAATGCAGTGTGACACAAAGAACTGATATATAGAGTGTAAATGTTTGTATACAGATTAGCAGCTTCCTCAACCCTTAAATCACACCGTTAGTTTAGCTTCTTTTAGTTATGAGCAGCACAGTCTTAACTGTTGGGCTGTCATTTCTGACTTTAAAAAGGTTAAAGATTGTGATTTTTACTCAGGAATTAGGAATCTAAATCACATATACGGTATGCATATTTATGTAGGGCTGCAACTAACTAATTATTTTCATTATCAATGAAAAATATTGATTAATTGATCAGTCATCTGGCCCTTAAAAGGTCAGTCAATTTTCCAGATCCCAAGGTGATGTCTTCATTCATAGTCAGTCTTATTATGTGACCATTTACTTAATTATCCACTGTGTATTATCTTTGTATTAACTTGTGCTTGTGCAGTTTTGCTTTCTTGTCCAGTTTATTGCCCCTGGAGACCTCTGTCTGACAGTAAAATGCTGTAAGTGGTTATAGATAAACAGCTGGTACTATTTTGTGTTTCAGGATCTGCATCCTAAGAGATCTCTTCTTCCTAAAGACTGACCTATGAGTCCTCCTTAGCTGTACCTCTGGACTGTTACCAGCTTACTGACATGACCTGCCATCTGTAAACTTCTGTAGCCATGGCTTTAAAAGTTGCCGTCACTGCAGAGCCAGATCAACCAGAAAAGATGCAGAACGTTCCTGTGCCAGGCTGAGACAGCAACTGAGTTCAGAGCTGAGATCTGTAGGAGCCACCAATTGGCTAAAAGGTGAATGGAGACAAGAAAGACCACCACTGCAGGGGTTCTTTTCTGGACCCCTGCCCCTGTCCGCACCTCAAGCACCAGCTCTGTAACATCTGAGGATGCATGGGAGGATGAGGATGAAGAACAGGCAGAGAAGGACGATGACTTTGTTAGCCAGATGGATGAGAATGGCATCATTGGACTGTCGGAAGCACTGGAGGATATAGAGTTGGGGGATGCAGATGCAGAATGTAATCCAAACTTGCATGCTGGACCCCTCAACCCGGAGGAGGCCAATCTTAGTAGGCATGAGAGGGAAACGCTACCCGAGGAACTGAGTTACAGCCTGAGTGAACCTCTGTCCCACACCGAATCATCAGGAGAGGATGTGCAAATGCTGTCACCATGTGAGTTTTAACGTTTTGATGTTCTAGGTCCTGAATATACCAGTCCTTTTACATGGTTGAGCTATATACATGTGACAAGATAATGAAAAGTGTAATTTGGATTTCTTGTATTGTCCAACTACCACTGCACAATCTAAAGATATTCAGTTTATTCTGACATCAGACAAAGAAAGGCAGCAAATCCTGATAAATGATTGCTGGAAGAAGGAAATGTTTGTTGATTTTGCTTGAACAATTCCTTAAAAGATTAATCCATTATCAAAATAGTTGGAGATTACTTTTCTTCCATATTGTTGTAACTCCATCACAGTGACCCTCAAGTCTGTGTTATTGTTTTTAGTTTTACATTATAAGGTAATGCAGGCTTTTTTTGTGGTTTAGCTTCTGTATTTTCAATAGAAAAATATTTTCTCAGAGAAAGAGAAGAAAGCATCAATTCCTCAAAGCAAGATCAATATTGAAATACAATACACGGGGAAAAAAAGTGTGCTCACTTTACAAATCAGTCTGCACTCTGCACTCGATGTTCACTGTGATTGATTACATAACTCAAGTTTCAAGAGTCCGCCTGTTGATTTTCTCACCAATGGCTGCCTGTAACAGCAGGGAAAATACAGGAAACAGTATCAAATTGTCTGGCATGCATTTGAGAGTTGTAAAGTATTATACATACATGCTGTCATTTCATATATAATACCTTAATAACATCTTCTACAGGTATGTTTTAAAAGATATATATATATATATATATATAATTTTATAACATTTTTAAGGTGTAATCCTAGATGCAAGATATTTCCTACCTCACTGAAAAGTCCATTATATGTGTGCTGAAGGCTTTGAGTTTCCACACTACATTCGTGAAGTTGAGGAGGCTATTGCTTTATTGTCAGAGACAATTTATGTCTGCATTGTGTTGAACCTGTCTTCCTATTTTCCCATCTCTCCACATTTTCGGCAGCTGATGAGTTGAAGGATAGCTTAAAAGCTTGGACAGTGGAAGAGGAGGTGAGGCAAAGGAAAGGAGAGCAGGGGATGCAGTGCCTCTCTGAGAACGACATGACAGAGGAGGAAAAAGATGGAGTGAAAGCAGGGATGAGGAGTGGCAAGAAGAGAAACAAATATGAACACAGCTACATTTCCAAAGGAGGGATTGAGAAGATCAGCTCTATACGATCTTGTAGTGCTCACTTGCTAGACATGGAAGCTGCTGGAGCCTCCAGTCATCGCCGCCCAATATCCCAGCCTGCCTCGGCAGTCACAGTGCCCACCTTCCCTCACCTTCTCCACTTCACTGCTGAGGAAATAGCTGCAGCCCCTGGGATTGAAGCTGAAACTTTGCCAGAGATGAGCTTCATAGAAAGTCTTTCAGAATCACACAGGAGCCACGTAAGCCTCAAGACCAGCCCTCGTGGTCCCAAGATAAAGCTCAGGGCATCTCTTCAGCCAGCAGCCATGTTTTCTGAGGAACTCAAGTCAAATCATCTCAGTGGAGTAAGTCATGGGCCTTTAGAGGGATCAGTTAAATCAGATAAGCATAAGAAACAGCCTACTCCCTCACCGAGGAAGATGAGGCAGCGCTCTCCTGAAGCCACACATTCAAGGACTCGTTCTGTTAGGGCAGACTTAAAATTAAAACACCAGACCACAAGTCCTGATGGAGAATCGAGGACATCCAGAGCCAGGAGTGATGCTGCTGAAGTGGACGAATCAAGGTGAGCCACATCCCCATAGCCATTTATTTTTTATCACGCTTCTTTATCCATCCTTGCGCTTTTCACATAAAGATTGTAGCTTATTCATAAAAAGCACTAACCTTGAATTTGATTGTATTTCCAGAAAAGGGCCTCTGAGTTACCGCACACCAGACTTCTCCATGGTGGAGCCCAAGGTCCATTTCCCCAAAGGTGGTTACAAGCCCCCCAAGAGCAAATGCTCTTCCAAGAGGGATTCCCTGTCACCTGAGCCCCCCTTAGTGTTTAAATCCCCTGCTGACATTGTGAAAGAAGTTCTACTGAACACCACTGATGGATCTCCCGCCTCATCAGACTATGACAGGCTACCAACCAGAGCCCTCAACTCCACTGTTCCTCAGGAGTTCAGATGCCGCCAGCAGGCCACCACACTACTCGATCAGCTACAGGTACTGGTAGAGACTAAGAGTACATAAACCCTCAGCTGGCTAAATAAATAAATAAGTAATAAATAAGTTTATCAACAATGGTCTAAAAATTAGAGTAGATGAGGAAAACTGAGCTTTTGGGAAACTATGATGAAAACCTGGTGGGGGGCTGTGTGAGAGTAAAATTAAGAAGACTTTCTGTCGCTCATTTTGAATGTCCATATATAGCTGGTCACACAATACAGGTGTTATAAATCTGTGTTTGTTTATTTTATCAGGCAACTTCCAACTAAAGATTGCTCAGTACAGGAGTTACTGTTCGCCTTGTCAACAGGTTTTAATAAGCTACGATTAAATCACTTAGGGTTGTTTTACGGTTTCTATGGCAACAGAAACAAAAATATATGTAAATGAGAGCAATGATGGCAATACAAGATACTAGAATTAAATAATGCTGCGTAGAAATTAAAACAAGGAGCTTATGATACACAGTCAGGGTTGGTATTTGTTTTCAAAATGTCTTTTGTCTTCTCAAAATACTAGTTTGCTACTTTGATCCAGTACAGGCCTTTTTCTGAGTACATGATAGCACAGGACCCAGAGTTATGTTATTTAATAAAAAACTTGTTTACATAGTTTTCAGTCTTATTTTATTTGTTAAAGAGCAGAAACACATTATATGACTTCAAAATGTACCCTCCCACTTTTCGTCAGAGGACCAGCTCACGGTGTAATGGCTGCCAGGACAACACAGTGACAAATTCTGCATCAAACTGGACAAAAGGATCCCTAAAAACCTAAGAGGAATTTCCTAAATCTCCTAAGTGAAAGTTTCTATCCTCTTTCCTATAACTCCGTGTTTCAAGTTTAGCCCTTATACTGTATCTAAATACAAGGTGCCACACTTCTACCACTTGACCTCTGCCCTTGCTCAGTACCAGAAGCAGCTGTAGACCATCAGTTCTGCTTCACATAGTCTCCGTTTCTGTAGCAACGAAGTCAAACAACTAGACATCATGTACTGAGCAGGGAAGGCACAAAAAAGTGACATTAAAAGTTACATAGTTTACGAAGTATACTGATGAGACTTCAGTAACTACGTGGTGCCAAATAATAAAAAGTAGTAAATTCTCTCCGGGTGCTCCCACTCCTTAGGTGTGAATATGACTAGCTGTGTGGTGCTGCGATGGATTGGCCCCCGCCTTTGGCCGATGTCAGCCGTGATAGGCTCCAGCCCCCCGCAGGATATTCCAGTATTAAATTCTTTATGCTCTATTCTTCAGTCTACTGCAACAAGGCACTTACTAATTCTTAGTTATACTCTAATAATAAAGGTTTGAATTACCTTTCCAGGATGGATAAGTCTTGCATTTCAGGGTGACATTTTTGTAAATGACCAAACACAAAGTATGTGTAGCATATTTTTTATCTACCGTGCCCCCTCTTCCTATCTTGCTCCTCCTTTTTTTTCTCACCTCAAATGCTTCTTTTGCACTCCCTTCTGTCTGTCTCTTCCCCCTTCTATTACTTTCTCATTTACTTTCCCGCTCATCTCGCTGCAGGAGGACTACAACAGACTGCTGACTAAGTATGCCGAAGCGGAGAACACCATTGATCGCCTGCGCCTGGAAGCCAAGGTAGTTAAAGTAGAAATCAGGCTATAATTTATCTCTGTTCAATGGTGTGCAGTAGTGCGAAGTTTTAAAAACAAGTACATGCCAGTGCCATGCAAAAGTTATATTTTGACTCAATTTAAAGTCACTATAAGTCCATCCAAGTTATGAAAAAAATTATGAACAGATTATCTATATACATTTTTATTATGTCACATATTTACACTGAACAAAATTATAAACGCAACACAATTTAAGATGCAACCACGTGAGAGGCATCATACGCAGCTGCAGTTTTATGTCCAAACACAGGCTGCACAAAAAGACAGAACAACTAGAGAAACTGTGTGGAAAAGTGAAGGCTCCTCTATAATTTGTACAGTACTTTCTGAGAACATCGGCACTCAGGCCTCTTTGTTCTGCCGCCTTTAAACTGCACACAAAAGTCTAATCAGGAACAGAATAAAATCCACGGTGGTACAGGGAGTCCAGGATACTAGAAACCAACAGTAGGGCTCCTCTAAAATAACTAAGGCCACAGCCCACATGAAATGGCAAAAAAAGAAAATCTGGCCAATGACAGTTGGCTCTTTGTGAAGTGGTTGGTACTATTTTAGCATTCAATAACATTCTTTGTTGTTGATCTGCTGCTGTAAGTTTGTAGCTCAAACATTATCCATTCATTGAACAGACAAACTTTAAACGGCCCATAGATCGTTTCATTCACTTTTGTACGGTTTTTGTATTTCTGTGGCCTTGTGACATTCAGTATCAACCAGCAATGTTCTGTGCCTCTTTATGTAGAGTGTCAAGATGCCTTCTCCAAGTATAGGAGTACAAAGGCAGAGATATGATATTCTTTTAAATATTTCTTAGCATTTTGTGTGTCTTTATTCCTGAACTTTATTTCTACAGGACAGACCTATTGAGATCCAGCGGCTAAGGCCCAGACATTGTCACCACAGCACAGGCAGAGCAGTATGTCACAACAATTGAATTGAAATCTATGATAAGAAATAAATGGAGGAGGAGCAGAGACAGGAGGAGTGCTGAAGTGTTGTGAAGTAGCTCCTTTAGAGAATTATTGGCCCATTTCAGTTCGAGCAGCAGTTCCACAAAATCAGCACCAATTAAAATCAGCTTACTGAGCTCCTCGCCTCTCCTCCATCTCCTTCAGTCCACCGCTGAACCACCATCTGTCTCCCCCTCCTCCTGCATGTATAACATCACACAGGCAGGGTGAGAGGAGTGGCTTTGCACTGCAATTTATAGTCAGACTATTTTTCAATACAACAGGAAATGCATCATCTGTCTTCTTAGACTTGAATCAAGGAATGCCATCATTTTCTAATTATAAGCTCAAGTAATGCTATTAACTACAAAACTGCAATTTCCTTGATCTTTTGTATTAAAAACGAATGCAATTACTGAACTCTTTCATTCGCTTTAATCAGCAAAAAAATCCTTCAGAAAAGAAAACGAAAGCCAACAAAACCAGCTCATGAGCTTGTATGTGTGTTCCAGCGTGTGTGTGTGTGTGTGTTTGATTTAAAGGGACTGTTGAGGTCAGTTTAAGGTCATTATGATTTACTGCTTGGAGGGCTTATCAGGAAGGGGCGTCTATTCATTAATTCTGTAAGTGTGGTAGCAGGGAGGGATGGGGCGACCAGCTAGTGTATGTGTTTAACTGTAGTCCAGTTATAATTCAGATAGTCTCTTCTGCACTGAAAGGATGTGTTTGATGTGCAGTCGGTCAGGCTGGGCTTTAACATTGGCGAGAATAAGGTATTCAACAGAGTGATCCAAAGATGTTGAAGTGACATTGTTAAAGTCATTTATATCACCACTCTTGTGGAAAGAAAAAAGTTGTTCCAAGTATATCACCAGATTGTACATTTTTAAGTTCTAATGTAAGCAGGTGGGCCAGTGATAATGGATGACGGGTCATGTTCATGCTTGTTGTTATTTCACATATCTCCACTAGGTGAACCTGTACTCCGACCCCCCAAAGCCCGGCCACCCAGTGCAGTCAGGACTACACCATGGCACTTCAAAGGTCATGACGCTGGATTTTCCAAGGGCTCAGAGAACAGAGATCAACTCAGCCTCTCTTCATCCAAATGGACACAGCAGTCATCAGAGTACATTCATCTTATTCAATGTTCCACTGCTGTCAGATTCATCATTTCACACATCATATATCATTGAATCAGCTGCTCTTCTGGTTTATTGCTGTGCAATTAAATATTCTCTCAAATGTTTTATATCAACATGCACATACAAACAGATCAACTGGCTTTCATCTATCAATCAGCTGCTACTCATGTTGCGTCATTCTGAACAACCTGCATTTATATAACTCTTCTTTCCTCTGCACTTGTCTGTCTACTTAACAGGAAGTGCATCTGCCGGTCCTTCCACAAGAAGCCCGGAACCTCAGGTGGGACAGCAGCTGGCCAAGATTCTCTACAGTCAGGCCGACAAGTTCCTCCAGCAGGTACATGACCTATTAAAAAAGTGAAAGGGATGGAGATTCCTGTTGGATGATGTGACTTTAGAAGGTAATCAGAGAAGGTTTTTTTATGTTCTTTATTCAGATGCAGACTTTTGAGGATCTCCTAAAGAGCGAAAAACTCAAACCTTTTGAACAGATGAAGGTAAGAGCAACAAACTCACAGTTTAAGTCTGTCACCCATACAGAACTACTTCTCATGGCTGCCTCCTATGCAAACTAATGAACCAGTGCTCTTCGGCAGGGCCTCTCACAGCTTGCTGCAGGGCTCGATTCTTTAGAAAGGGGCTACCTGTTAGCGAGGGATGAACACAAACTCCTGCAGCAGCGAGACGTGGAAATCAACCACTTTGACCCAGAACGGTGGGAGTGATGTCCAAAATAAATGGGGCATAGATTAAATTTTATATTCTGTATTTTTTTAATTGTTTCGGCTGTTTGTCTGCATGTGTTTGTATCAGGGAGCTGGAGGGGCTCATCTTTCAGTGTGGGCTGCATATGGAAGATCTGAAGGAGCATGTGGAACAGACGCGGCAGGAGCAGCCCACCTGTGAGGCTCCTCCCTCTCCACCTCGTCACCACACCCCTTTATCTGTTCCCTCTGAGGGGGGAGAAACTCTGACTCACCCACAGGTACCGTCACACAGCTCTGTCTGTATTAATGCAATCCGTCCTTGAAATGCACAGAAAATCTGCTCAACTGTTGTAGGTGTGCATGTAGTGTGAGACACTGCAGGTCGTCAGCATGTCTCTCTGCATCAGTAGCGCCAAGAGAAAGTCTTGTAAGGGATTGTCCATGATAAGGTAATTCTGGAAGAGATACGAGAGAATAAATTTATTTGTGGCATGTTGTGTACCCCATACAAAGAAACACCCATAGAAGAAACAATAACATTTTTGTTCCTGATTGGAAACATGTGAGATAATAGTGGATGTTGCATTTTGGATTTGTTCTAGTCCAGTCCTGTCCTATCATACATCAAGCAAAACAAGATTGTTTTGTATCAGTGTAGACTGAATATCTTTAAGCTTTGGGCTGTTTGCCATGGAGCTTACCATGGATATTTAAGATACGAAACAATTAAATGACCCACCTCCAAAGAATTGTCTATTAATCAATAATAAAAGTACTTTAATTATTTAATTAATAATTCTACTTGCCGTTCCAAAGCCGTAACTGGTGCTTGTTTAAAATGATAATTGTTCATGTGGAAGTGTAGGTCAGTCATCATCTGCGTTTATGTTGCCTCATCTGTAAAAATTGTTTCGCAGGGAACACACACTTGCAGCCTCATCAGATTTTATATAATGATTTAAATTCATCTCCTCACAGAGCCCACCTGTGCCTTTGCTGGTTGATCCAGGAGAGGCAGCGGTGGTGGAGGTGAGCTCAGCCAGTGAAGAAAGTGATGAAGAGGAGGCAGAGACTGAGGATGAAGAAACTCTGAATTCTCTCTACCTCAAAGCTCTGAATGGCAAATACAGACGTGTTGAACAAGACTTCGTCACACTAACGGATCAGTGAGTGGTGGTTTTTGTGTGAAGTGTGACCATCTGACTCTGAAGGATTTCTATAAACAGGAGATATTCTTACCCAAAATTATTTAGATTTTTTTGCTTACTGCTGGAATGGAGATAGGAGATGGAAAATAAGGAATCTGGACTTTCATTATTTCAACCTGAATGTCTTTCCTACTTCTGTTTAGCTACCAAAGCTTCAAGGAGCTTCCAAAACTTTTAGACCATAGCCAGAGGGAAGGAGCTCCCGTTTCTGCTGCCTTAAGAACAAACATGCAGCTTGGGGATGAGGAGAAAGAAAGACAGGGTCGAGGAACTGGTAACCTGGAAGTACAGAAGAGTCTTCCAAAGAGGTTAGTCTCCAGAGCTGTAGTTTAATCAGCAGCACAGTTAAGGTTGGTCTTGAACTCTGCAGCACTGAGGCCTCAGTGTGTTTAAGAATTTGTCCTTTCCTGTCTAATTATAATTATCTTTATCGTGAATGGTAAAATAATACTGCTATTTTAGCTGTCTTTTTAAGAAATTAGATATAAATGAATACCTACAAAAAACAACCACACATACAAACAAAGGTATTTCTGAGGGGAAGCTGATTTCACTAGCACCACTGTACTAATGTCTCTGTACATGACAGGAAAGCCAAATCAGATTATCAGGACTCTCTGCCTGTTTGCACCAGCAAAAAGGAGTCCAGATCTCCTTCATGCAAGGCCTCTGCCCAGTCAACCATGCCCCGCGTTCGTCCAGCCAGTAGCAGAATGAGGTTAGAGGTGGGAAAGCCCCACAGCAGCAGTCTGAGCAGTCTGGGAGACATCACTGCACCGGAGACGAGGAGCTCCAAACTCCATAGTGGAAACAGCAGCGGAGTCCTCTCTCAAGTCAGTTTATATTGTGATTGATTCTACAGTGGTTCATTCACAAATATTGCATGTTTAAGTGAGACCGTGTGTTATCATTGCAGACAGTTTATCATGTGCAGAGTCTAGGTGTCAGAAGGTTTAGAGTTATGTGAGACTCAAAATCTAGAGCTTCACAGCTCATCATGCTTTTAAAATTTTGCAGCTTTTTCTGCAGTTTTCATTGTTCTCCAGTCAAAATAGTAGTACATCTCACTGAAGTTTGTTCCTTAAATACCACTAAACTTGTTTAACAAAATCAAATTAACCATGACTGCAGCCATACTCATCCATCCCTAGATGATCTTTTTAATTCTGAATGTTTTTATATGTTTTGAGCTAAGAGACTCACACACAGGAAAACAAAATGAATACTGTTAATCCTAAAATAGCTTGTGCAGAAATCTACATTGAAACCACAAAACACTGTTCCCCTGATATATGTTTTAGATGCATTAAGAGGAGAGTGGGACATTTGGTGATGTTGGCTTACGTAATCACAAAACAAAAAAAAGTGTTGCAAATTACGAGTTGTTTTAAAGGTCAAAACACTGAGCTCCCAAGTACCTTTAAGCTACTAGACTTTCAGTTGACAAGTAAGTGTAGACTTACGTAATCTCATAGTTTGATTGCCCATTGTTTGATGGGTGTTTTTATCAATTCCTTCTTGATATCAGTGTAACAGCTATTGTTTTTATTAAACCACGACAATGCACCACTGAATAAAAAGAAATATTACCGGTTAATGTGTCAATGTTACTTCTACGTGCAGAATGCGTATAGATAAATGTTGCATAATCTTTGTTCTGTGTTGTGCTGACCAGGATGGAATCATCTCTCCAGAGACGGACAGCGGGTTTGTCGGTTCAGAGAGCAGCCGTCTGACTCCTGCAGCTGCTCCCAGTCCTCTCCACCAGAGGGCCTCAGAGAGGTGAGGAGGTCCAACACTGCTTCTATGCCTCCACACACACCAAATTTACTGCACCATAAATTTTACCCCATGTTCCACCCCCCACCCATTAAACACACGCACACACACACAGCATGCTAATGTCTGATCCTACAACAGCAAAGGCCCAGGTTCTCTTTTGTTAGTACTGTTTTCATTCAAGCAGAGGATGTCTGTCTTTCGCTCCAATTCTGATCTGTTCCGTCTTTGTGTGTTTGAATATCCTTCCATGGTGCGACAGTGTTTCAGTGCCTCAGGAGGGGAAACCTGAGAAGCCTCAGACAGGCCCAGTCTCAGCACCATCTCCTGCGTCTTCGCCGTCACACAGTCGCACTGCTATGGAGCCCAAGGGGGGCTCCCGGCTCAGCCCCGTCCATCCGAGGAGAACCAGACAGGGGCAGAGGAGACGCACCTTCTCCTGCTCTCCACAGCGCTGGGTCAGTCAGACAGAACAATCCAATGCAGGGACCAGTGAGTTTGGGCTTGAGAGTGACAGCAGTGAGTGTAATGTTCTTTTTTTTCTTATTAAAATCATGTTGTCATGTTACTCTCCTACTATGTTATCACTCTTAATGTGTATTTAACCTGCCAGCCTGCTCCTGTCTGTCTCTACAGATCACACTCTGTCTGAAGATGGGCAAAATAACCAGTGCATAGAATCTACCAGCTCCAGTCCAAGCTCCTCCCCCACTGCATGGTATTACCATGGCGATTCTCTCAGAGCACTGAGCTCCAGTCAGGGGGCCAATCGCAAGTGAGTGTGTGTGTAGCAGCAGCTGCAATGAAATAGCTGTGCAAACAAGGCCAGGGTTATGTCTCCCTGCAGAGACTCCTGAACGGAAATTGTGAATGAAATGAAAATAGTATTTTCATACATTTCCTGAAATTCTCCTGTACATTTACCTTGCAACATCACCTCACCACACATCTCATGAAATGCTCAACTATCCTTAATGTTTCTATCATCATATTCTTTTATGTACTTTATTACAGAATCGGCTGCTATTGAATGTGGTTGCATATTAGGAGGTACTCTGTATTGTTTTCTGCATGGTGTGGTGTTGCATGAGTCTTTTCAAAGTGTGTGTGTATGTACATTTGGACTGACTGCTGCACAGATACTTGGCAAGTCACCTGGCACTTTGGTCCTTTGCATAATTATTTCCACAGTGCAGCACTACAGTGGTCACATTAGCTAGACTTCACTACTTGACCTTGGAAATGTGTGGTGGTGAAAAAATTGTAAAGTACACTAAACAAAAACATGACCTCCAACTGGATTTTTTCATGTGATTTTACACATCTTTTTGTGTGTATTTTTTTAGTGATGCAATCCAGACGCTGCAGACCGAGGTGACCAGACTGAAGGAGAGACTAGAAAGCTGTCTGAGAAATAAGAAGCCTCTGAGTTCTGTGAGAGCAGCTTTAGCCCAGGAGAACTACGCTCACCTCAATGCGTCTACACCTCGCGTCAGGTTGGTTTCTTAATTTTCCAGGTATGACCACACAGTCCACCTGTCCCACAGCAACACTGCCCAGTCCACGGCAGTTTGTCTGCAGAGTGAAGCAACAGGATAGAGCTCATAGCTATAGACATTCACACACACATATATAGATCCATAGACGCTATACTGTATACTTATACACTATACGTCTGCTTTTTCACACCAGCTTGTACTTAATTTGGTCTCCCATTGCTCAGGTCTGGGGTGCGATTGAGCGATGCCAGCAGGGGAAGAAGAGACAGACAGACGGTTGAGGAGGTTGAGGAGTCTACACTGAGACGAACAACCAGGAAAATACCACCTTCTACACGCAGACAAGAACCACAACCTAACATGTGTAAGTTGATCTGTACTTGACCCTTAACTCAGAGCTTTGCTTGAAAGATCTTGTATAATGCAGTAGTAAAATACTAATACCATATGTGTGTAGTGTCCTCTTCAGTGAAGGACAAGGTGAATAAACAAGTTAACGGTTTATTAACATACAAACACACAAGCCCTGTGGTAATTCATTTCATTTAGTCATACTCAGGTATTCGTCCAAAGAGAGTAACGCATAAACACTAAACATATGTGCATGGTGATGAAGATGCATAGAAAACATGTATCCATTTTGACTTGTTCAAAGAATATATATATAGACACATATGCAAGCACATTCACCCTAGGAAAGCATGTGATTTGAACAATATAGCATATCATTTAATGAATGTGTTTTTGTTTGAAGTGACAGAGCCTTCTACGTCCCGGCCCCTGGTGTCCAGATGTACTCAAACATCTGCTGCAGTACCAGAAAGCTGTGGTTCCCACACAAAAGCAGTCCGCAGCAGAACACACCCCAGTAAGAACACCCATCCCTCCACTGCAGACATTTTGATTCGTCAAATGCAGTCGACATTTTAGGCATCTTAAGACGTTTTAGCTGCCAGTCCAGTCTACATGAACCTCCAGTGACTGAGCAGGTTGGAGTTCAGTGTTGTGTTCAGTGAAGAACCTGCAGCTTGTAGTCCGTTTGTCTAATCAACAGGACAGCCCAGTGCCGTGTCAATGCAGTTCAGAATAGAAATACATGTGATTGAGCACTAAGTTAATTCAGACCACAGTAATAGCAAGCAGTTATCTGACAGAACATTTTATTTCAATGTAAAGCCATGTTTTGTAGTTTCTTTCAAGAATGTGTGGCTTTATTAAGCACTCACTACAGCACTAGTAGAATTACTGCATGAACAGAGCTTCTGCCATTGCTCATACAAGCCTTTTATAGCTAAATTCAGTCTCTCCTGCTCTCACCAGCTTCCAAATACTCTCCAAAAATGTGAGACACTATTTTTCATAGATTACATACACTCAGAAACACGCAAATTCATAGCTACATGTGTGCATGTCAACACAGACCTTTAATAAAAACTGTTTAAGATGTTGTGTTGTGTTATTTAATGCACTGATTATCTCAGTGCATTTGAAAGACCAGATTGTGCCTACCCCCGCTGGTGAGTGTCTCTGTGTGTGTTGCAGGGCAACATCCTGGTGTGTCTGTACAAGTGTCTGAAACAGCAGATGAACCTGACAGCAGAAGTCGTCACGCTCCTCTTTGTCCTCAGTGTTTGTCACGTCACCGAGGGCGACCTGAAAGTAAGGAGGCTCCTTTCTATCCTGTGCAGGACATTTGTGTTTTCGTCTTTTCTGTGTGTTTGTTCTTACTTGACTTTCATTGCTGCTCAGACCCTTTTGAATGCTTTCTGAGAAAGGTGTGAACAGTTACCTCTTTAGACTCCAGACGTTTGCTCTGTGTGTGGTTGGTGATATAATCCATGATAACTGAGAGTTTGTTGTTCAGTATTAGCAAACTAAAGTTCTGTACTTTCACTGTGCTCAGCACATAAATCAGTTCAGGCTACATAAAATAAATTCATTAAATTATCTGAAGTGCTAATGGAGCTCCTGGCCTGCTCTGTGATTCAGACTCCCCCACACACACAAGCTACCAACCAGCCGAGACCCCTGACAGAGCAGCAAAGAGCAGTCACTTTGCAGCTGCAACTCCAACTGCACTGCTGCAGTGCATGCCAGTGTGTCCGCCACCACTCCTGTAAGTAACCTGCCATCTCACTACTAGTATAATGATGTGCCCATTAGGTTGATTTCACCTACTGGCCTCTCTCCAATCTTAATGACATTTCTCGCATACAAGTTATAAACAGTATGTACCAGAGGTGTGGACTCGAGTCATATGACTTGGACTCGAGTCCAATTTGAGAAAATCAAAGAAGACTTGCAACTCGACTTTGACTTTCACAAGAGTGACTCATGACTTTACTTGGACTTGAGCCTTTTGACTCGAGCTGACTTGACTCTCCCCATGCCCAAACATATCCTAATATCCTAGGGGGTTAAAACTTTATATTTAACAATAGCAGCCAACTTTAGGCTAAAGCATAAGCGGGTATAGTTAATGGATGAATGGATATTATTTATTCTAAACCAGGTGAGTTCAGTGTTGCTTTACATTATCAGTGCTTGTAAAATATCCACTGTGTCTGCGTCTTCTAACGTCATAGCGATTTATAGTTTTCTCACCGTCGGTTTAAGTCACTGCATCTTCCAACAAAACACAAAACTTGTTTTTCAGCGTTCTGTAACGTAACTTCTGTAACTTCGTAACATCTGTCACCTGCTCTGCTCCCCTCGGTGTGCGCACACACACACACACACACACACACACACACAACCAGTGACCCATCTGTCACATAAAGTTAATAATGTGTAATAATGGGCTATTTGGGATTTTGGCGTAATGCATATACAGTAGTTTTTAAAAAGAAAGTATTACATTTTAAAAGGTCAATATATTCCTAAGCCAATAATAAAGGACCACAATGGAAATAAGCTGTGTGCTTTATTGGGTTTTTTATCCTTTGGATGGTATCTGTAGCTGGGGCATCTCCTGTTGGAGATATTTCTAATCAATAAAGAAGCTCAATCAAAGAGTAATCCTGTTAAATAATTGTGATCTCAATATTGACCAAAATAATTAGCAGCCCTACATGAACATTTCAATTCATGAAATTATAGAACATTTGTTGTGTGAAACTGCACCTCTGCCTTCTTTCTGTACAGGCTAATGCTTCATTCAATTAATTTTTTGGATTTTTAACTTAACGTATGAAATGGTTTTAAATTTGGTAAAGACCGCATTATGACTTGTTTAGGACTTGAAACTCAACATTTAGGACTTGGCCTTGACCTGGGACTTGACTTGAGACTTGAGACTCGGACCGTCATGATCGGCCTGGACTTGGGACTTGAGTGCTAAGACTCGAGACTTACTTGTGACTTGTAAAACGATGACTTGGTCCCACCTCTGATATGTACTACACACAGTTGTAATAATATATTTCTTTTGCTGTTAGTACACAATTATTTCTTGAAAACTAACAGGAAATATCATGGTATGACTTTTTAAGTATTTGTAAAAACATACGATATATAAAACACAAAACAGACTCTTATTGTCAGAAGAGAATGAGGTCCTAAAAAGAAGAATGGAATGGAAGCTTACACTTACACACCAAAGTAAGTGTACTTTCTAAGATTTCAGTGTACATATTAATGCTGTGGATGGACATGACTGTCAATCAATACAATACACCAAGGAAATAGAGGGCCTTCTCACAGCTGGAAACACATTGAACACATTACGTTGATGAAACATCTTGAGATGGTTCTCAGATGACAAATAAAGTACTTTTTCTCTGACAACATATTTTTCTTTGACTTTGTGAAGTTGAATTGGCATCCATCAGCATCCATCAGCATCCATATTCTGTCATTTCCTGTTGATACAAAGACAAAAATTAATTGATATGTGGCACTTGTATACAGACTGCAAAAAAATAATATTTAGTACTTTCTGAACTGTCATACTCATTTGTCTTTGTCATCAAACTCACCCTTTCTTCAGGTTGTACTCGACGCCCCTCTACGTGTCTCCTAGCAACGACACTGGCACATCCTCGGGGGTCAGAGGTCACAGGGAGGTGAGGGCGAGGACTAGACGCTCCATGTCTGCTGACAAGCAGCGCTCTTTGGACAGCTCTCTGAACAGAGCCATCAGAGCAGCCCGGCACATGAAACACACCTCTAGACACATGGCTCACTCTCTGGCTACTGGACTGCACTACCAGGAGCAGCTGACTCAGTCCTGCAGCTACTAGTCTGGTCTGAACTCACTTCCCAGGCAGATTAGACCAAGCGCCAGTTCAGCTGCAGAATGAGGCTGTCCACATCACCAGGAGCCACAAGCAGTGAGCGCATGACCAAGTGAATAAAAAGTCGAAAGTCATTCTCTGCTTTGTAACATTCTTTGTTTCCTAAGTTTGGAGAAACAAAATGCTGCCAAAGGTTCTTATGATGCATTTTTATTATATGTAAATTTATGGCAACATTTAGGTCTCTGGGGGCCAAACATGAATTTATCAAAAGATATGCTGGCATACGTTGAGATGACCATAGTTTCGAAAATGGTGTAGTACTGTAGATCAGTAGATGATGTTGATCATATTGATTTTAAAGTTAAGATAATTACTTTCTTCTTCACTGGACATGAGAAGTTAAAGCTCTCAAGAGTTATTACTCAGTTATTTTGAGCTATTTATTGATCATGTGTCTGTTTATTGATAAAGCAGTTGTGTTTAAGTGCTTTTTTAGTTTACAGAAATCTAAAAATAAAGTCACGATTTCAGTGTTATTTTAGCTGCTGTAGACATTTTTTTTGTGTGAATGCAGTCGCTCATTGTTGTGATGGAGTCAGTTTTGGATTGTCAAACAAGACACGACCATGGATCTATTTTGTAAATGTCAAAGGCTTATCTCTCTTTATCTTTATATATTACGAAAAGAGGCTGGCCCCCAAGGACCTGAGATGCTGCATATCCTCAATTAGTCTGCTTCTATGTTGTTAGTCATTTTCTATGTATAAACTACACATTTTAAATTGTGAAGTTTTCGAGTTAAAATCTGTACAGTATTTTATCGTAGGATTGCAAGTGTAACTGCATGAGCCAGTCTACTGTAACTGATTTGTTTTATGTGGAGCAAACATTTACAGACTGCAGTGACAAAGGTGTGTGGCTCTTTATATACAGGGGGGAACAGAGGATTAGGACTATTTTTACAGAAAAAAGTATGCATTATATTTGGTTGAAACACACCATAGAACTGTCTGTTCTATGTTGAATGTTTTAAGTGAATTTTATTTTTAACTTACCATTTTTTTTTACCAGTTAACTTATCATTTTTACTTTTGTACCATTATTTCTCAAATTGCAGGTGCTGTTTTAATTTGCAGGGAAGCTTTTCAGTTGTCCCTAAGGAGCCAAATAAAGGTGGGAATGAACATTTGGTATCGCTGCGCTTTTTAAATTTTTTTTAAAGAAACTACTAAAAGTAAAGAGTTGAGTCTTTAATGTAATGGAAGCCAATTTATTAGACAGCCTTAGTACATGTTAGGTACACATGGAAGTATTGTTTGTGCTTCAACACTCGCAAACATACAATCCCAATAAGTTAAACAGTTTTAGGACAGACTAATGTATTTATTTTTTTTTCTCTGATAAATAATTTTGATATAAATCAATTAATTTGACAACCCTATAACCCTATACAACAGCAAATTATAGTAGAAAAAAAAAACACAAAGTCAAGCGTTTGCATCACAGAAAACGCATTATAGTGCAATATACAACTTGTTGGCCAGGAAAGGGGAAGGAGGGGAGGAAATAAAAGTGAAAAGGGTGGGTTTAAGTTTTTTGCAAAGCCATTCGCCATTGGAGGGTTTACATTGCACCAGAGGAGGAAACGGATAAAGTTCTTTTTTCTCAGTTGACGACTAACAGCTACAGCTAAACATCACAAACACGGCGGCTTCACATTGGCATCTTTAAAGGAAAAGTATCACTACTTCGAAGTCAGAAAATTTCACCAGTCGACAGTGAGAGCTAAAACAGCAACATATGGCATATACACAACACTACTCAGTGCATGGCTCAATTAAACATTACTAACCAATGATAAGACTTATTCAGACAGGATACAATACTGAAATACAACTGGCCCTTTTAATATTCATTAAATATCAGCAAGCAACGGCCTTTTCCACAATAAAACGTGAAGTTTCTCTGGACAAAGGAAAACGTGGCAAGTAACTACTTTACAGTCTCGGCAGCCGGAGGAGGGGTGTTTCTGGCTTTTTTCTCTTTCCAATGTTTGCTAAACCAAGTGTTTTTAAACGTATACTTAACCAGAATTGTATGCGTTGAGTATCAAACACAGCAACGTAACCTTTGCCTCTTTTAACTTGTCAAGCTAGCGAGTAACGTTAGCTTTCTCATTATCAAACATCTATTGTGCCAAGCAGTACTTCGACTTTGTATCTGTGATCCTGGAGGCAAGGGACATAGAAAAAATGGATCTGAGAAAGTAACAAGTTACAAAGATTTTTTCCTCCACATCAGTTCATCCACTGCAGGAATACACTAAACTTCCTTCACACCACAAAGTCACTTTTCGGCAGATCACACGAGTTCCCAACAGTTAAACATTTTCAACTTATTCAAACAAAGTTTTTCTCGTCGCATTGCCTAGAATAGGGCTAACGAGCAAGTATCTGATTGTTTGAGTTTTTCCCAATGGGGGTGTCCTAACCTGCTACGTGACTCAGCAAACAGGCTAAGACACTCTTGCCCTGGTTCCAAGTTTCGCGTAACTCCAACATATTTTCACTGGACAAAATCAACCTTGACGTTTCTGTTTCCCCTCCACAACGTGGGCAACATTGCTTGTGGTACATGTGGACAATTTTTTGCCCTCTATTCATTAGAGCTCTCTGTACATTGGGAAGAGGTGTTACAAGATGGAAATTTGCAGGAGGACAGCTGCCGAGGTTAGCTTGGATACACATACACGATGGTTTCACCGCGAAAAACTGTATCAAAACATCCTCATCACTTCTACCACTCCATAAGCATTGTCCACTTATTCTCTGTCCAACTGTGCCCAGTATGTTCCAAAGAGTAAATTTTTTATTTATTTATTGTTAGCATATTTTTTGTGCACAACTAGCGCAGTATTTTGGAAAATATACCTAAAACACTGGCAGTTGAGTTTTCACACTGTTTGTTGAGTAGTGGATAATGCTTCAGGAGTGGTTTGAAAAGTTTTGAAGCACGTTTTTATACTTTTCGATACTCAGAACAAAGGTTTTCAGTGGAGTATCCAACATCTTAGGAAAAAGCTAAATGCTAAATGTGGCTCCCAGAACACACACACACAAACATTAACAGTCCACACAAGTCCAAGCATGCTACTGAATACGAACATCTAAATGGGCTGGGGGGGACTCCTCTCTGATGAAATATCTATATATATTTATATATTGCCTGTTGACTGATATGATATATTTTACAACATCAACCTCTCAAACTGCATATCCCTCCACCCGTTCCCAATAAAACTCACACTGAGGAGGAAACCCAAAGGAACAAACGAGAAAAACCTTTACACATTCTAGCAGGTTTCATAGCATACAATATTACATTTTGGTACTTTCAGTTTTAAATGGCCTTCTGTTCTGATATTTAAACCTTTTTAAATAAGCTTATCTAGTTGCATCCATTGTAAAACATGAGAATACTTGCAACAATTTTATTCTTTGATACCACATGTATGTTCTTTTTTTTTTTATCATCCGAGATGTCTTTTTTTTTTCTTCTCAAGCAAGATGCATACACACTTAAAGTAGGGTTTTGGTGGGGATGTTAAGGGGGTAGTCAGGGTTAAGGTAAAGGGAGAGAGATGTGATATGAGGATTTTAGCTTGTCACTTCCTCTTCTGGTTTGTTCATGGCCTTGAGCTGCTCCAGCAGGGTGGTGGGGGTGAAGATGTTGGTCGATCCTGGAGACACACATGCATAGAACACACACACACACCACACCACAGCATTAGATCTGCACGTTTGGAAATAAACTGATGACAAAAATGTGTTTTCAGCTCTTGCTATGAATATACTGTAGATGAGGGCAGGCTCACATAATGTTGAAAGAAAAATAGAAACACTGAGCAACCCAAAGTTAAAAATCATAAATCAATTAGCCAGAAGGTTAAAATGGATCACGTACCAAAGAGTTTGAAAAACAAATTCTAAAGGTGGGAGGTAACTAAGTACTTTTACTGTACTCAAGCACATGTTTAGGTGCTTCCTGTATTTGTAATATTGTAATAGTGTTTTTCTAACCTGCATTTCATTTCAGAGGGATACTTTGTACTCTATATTTCACTAGATTTATCTTATAGCTGCAGTTACACTGCATATTCAGATTATGCGTTCAACTGAAGCTCATAAAACATCTGTTGTCTAGTAAAAATCTTGTCTTCAGAAGAATTCTTTAAAAGTCCTGAAAACTGTCTTGCTTCAGTCAATTTTAGATATTTAACGAAGAAAAATGTCTCAGCTTGTGTAGGAACGTGTACTCTTTTAACTGATCTTAACGTGGGTAAATCTCCAACACTAGAGGTATGACCTTGTATGTCCAAAATCAAGGATTTTCATTTTATTTCACTTGTTTTAGAGGTGAAATTTTAATCTTGATTTTTCTGTGTAAAGTAAGATGGAAATGTATTCCACTTCAATACTCTTGAGTCTTTCCCTCTACAAACATACAGCCTGAGACAAACCCATAAAGCTGTGTTAAATCACATGCAGCTGAACAATATGTAAGCACAAAAATCATTGATGACACCACACAGCTCTCATACATATTGGAGCAAAAAGCAGTAGCTGGGCTACTAGCAATCCTGCAACACAAAAATTGTCCACACAGCACAGCCAATCAGGTGTTAGAAAAATGTACACATGACAGGTGTGGGCCTTTAACTAAAGAGCATGCATAATTCAGATAGCTAAAAAAATACTGCAAAACAAACCAAAGCGGATTGTCTCTACATGTCCAAATCCAAAACCAGAAAGTTGCGTCTATTGCTAATATGAAAATGTGGAAATCTACTACTAATAACACAGGGATGAACTGTGTGACAGCTGAAGACACATTTCAGACAAGGTAAAACCTGGAAGGTGCTAGACTGGAGTAAAGCAAACTTACTGCTAAATTTGTTTGTCGTTAACCAGATTTACAGATTGATTACTGCCATCTTAATTCTTTGTCATAAAAAAGCCAAACAAACCATTTGATTTACTCCTCACACCTGCTCAACATTATCAACAGTAGCTGACCTACATTGATTTGTTTCTGTTGCAAAGCTGCGTGTTTCTCCCAATTTGGTTCGATCAGCTGCTTTACCTCAAAGACATTAACCTACAGTCCAACTAAACTTGATCCTAGGAGAGGTCTGAACAGGAAGTAGAGGTAGGTAAAGGTAAAAGCAGAAGAGAAAGAGGCAAGCCATCTCGAGTTGGGTTGTTATGTTGATGTGGGGGTGGGGGTTTAGTGTGGGTCACTGAGGTCAACGTCGGACTGGCCTCGCCTGCTCTCTGCTGTTCCCCAAACACCAGCTTCGTGGGCCTTTTTTGCCCCAAAACACAACACTGTGACATTGATCTCCAAACGCCACTAAATTATTACTGTACATGTCTAGGTTTTAGACCAAAATAGCATAACAAAAACAAAGAGTTTGTTTTAGTAAGTGATGGCCATTTTGCTCAGGAAGTGTTGAATGCAGCAGTATGTGTGGGAGCAGCCATACTGCTTATGGTGAAAGCTGCCTACAGAGAAAACCATAAAACCAAAAGTTGGTTTGTAAACGATATCGCTTTAGCAGATTAGTTAGGGATGAGATGGATGCCCAGAACTACAACGTTCTATCTTTCTATCCAGTTTTAAAGGTTCAGCGTGCAAGTTTTAGTGGCATCTAGTGGTGATGGTTGCGAATTGCAACCAACGGCTCAGTCACTGCTCAATCCTCCCTTTTGAAAAAGCGCAGGAGGTGGCTGACACACTCAAACAAAACTAGAGGAAAACGTTTCCGGCGTCAACTCACACTGAAGCTTCAGTAGCGGAGCGTTCAGCCTACACGTTGTTAATGTGTTGTTATTGTTAATTTGTTAATTACTGGGCTTCAACTATGGATAACAGCTCTCTGATAGCCCGTTCCGCTCCGCTCTCTGCAGCTAACGTTAAATATCCACACAGAGCATTTCAGAATGATTTGCTGACTTGTTCAGATTTCGCTTATTTGTTCAGTTGTCCTTATTTTTGTGCTTCTATGGTTAAGTAGCTACGTAGTTAAATTGTTTTTTGTCTGTTTTAACTGGTTTATTGTTGATACACTATCGGGAGTCTGCAAAGGGTGGTTTTATTTTGAAAATCGACCGGATTCTCTATGCCGTT